TTTCATGTGGTACTAAGTACTGGCGCAGAATCAAACCTTTCATATGGTACTAAGTACTGCTGCAGAATTCAAACCTTTCATGTGGTACTAAGCACTGGTGCAGAATCAAACCTTTCATCTGGTACTAAGCACTGGTGCAGAATCAAACCTTTCATGTGGTACTAAGTACTGGTGCAAAATCAAACCTTTTATATGGTACTAAGCACTGGTGCAGAATCAAACCTTTCATATGGTACTAAGCACTGGTGCAGAATCAAACCATTCATATGGTACTAAGCACTGGTGCAGAATCAAACCTTTCATACATTACTAAGTACTTGTGTAGAATCAAACCATATAGTACTAAGCACTGGGAGAAATACATGCTTAATATAATAGTAAGTACTGGTGGAGAAATAAACCTTTGATATGGTACTAAAAACTGGGAGAAATACATCTTTAAAATGATAGTAAGTACTGGTGGAGAAATAAACCTTTGATATGGTACTAAAAACTGGGAGAAATAAATCTTTCATATGGTACTAAGCACTGGGAGAGAAACCAACCTTAGATATAGTCCTAAGCATTGAGACAGAAACAAACCTTCGATATAGTACTAAGCACTGTGTGACAGTAGATCCTAATCACAGTCACTGACAACATACAAATATCATGGTCAAGGCTGAAACACTACACATATACATAAAACAATTCTATGGATCAGATCTTTAGTGGCAGGCAGAGGTGTTTGCATTCAGACAGACACAACTCACCAGTAGGAAACCACAGCTCCTTCTCCTTCTCCAGCCGTGCCATCACTCGCTGGACGTGTTCCGTCTGCTTCTTCTCCTCATCCTTCAACTTGTCCATCAACAGCTTACACCTCTCTTGTTCTTTCTTCTTTTTACTTGCTGGCTGCAAACATAGAGAGGTCAAGGCCAATGTGACAAAATGTTTGCTATAAAACAATTCTGATGGGCTAGACAGCAGAATTATTCACTTTATATATATATATACATAAAACAATAGCTGAGCATGGATGCGTAATGAATTAACAGAGAGATCGTGTGAGTCAATGAATATGTGATGAGTTAATCTGATGGATAGACTGATATGTGGAGATATAGGAAGATCAACAGACAGGGCAGACAGAAACAGAATATTCAGGGGGTGGGGGGAAGAGAGGATAGATTCAGTGACTGAAAAGATACCCAGTCAGGCAATCTAATGACAAATATTGGATTCACAAACACACAGGGCACTGAGCAAAAGCCATCCCTGTGAGGCTTCCTGGGCCCTATTACAGGGAAAACAAGAATAGGCCCCCTGCCTACCTAAAAGCGTGTCATAAGAGTCTACTAATTGGGAGCTTCTTTTGAAGTCAGAGTGCATCTGCCTGAGAGGCAAGAAACCAACAGTCTGCATATAAACGAATCAGATCTGTAAAATGGTTGCCCACGCAACATTCAGGTTCTGCAACAGGCCTGCAGTCCAGAAGTGGACGACAACCAGAACTTTCCGTCAGAATTTACAGCTGGTAAACGCAATAAAGAAGAAGAAACAGACAAGATATTCACTGACATACTATTCAGACAGTTAAAGAATAATAGAGACTCGCACAGACAAGCAACGCATTGTAAAAATCATATTAATTAGGAAGTCTACAAAACAATTGTGAACATCTAAAAATATAAACAACAGAAGTGAGTCACCAACCATATCTCGATTATCCTCAATGGCATTGATCTGGTTCTGCTGAATCTGTTTCTGTTTCTCATAGGCAGCTGTTGGCACATACAGGTCATACATGGACAGTGACCAAAAGGTGATGTAGAACTGTGGGCTGAGAACACAAGACACAACAGGTAAAAACATCAGCTAAACTCTGCATGCTAAACCTGGTTCTCAGTTTGGTACAGGTAACTGTAATGAGGGCTGATGTGAGACAGGGAGGGGTGTAGCCAAGAATGGAGATAGCAAAACAAGAGTTTTGATACAGCAAAAGTTAAAGAGACCTAAGAGCAAGAGAGAGACACAGAAAGCAGAACAGACTGATGCTGCGAAGTCAAGCAGAAAAAAGAGAGAGAGAGAGAAATCTACTTGGAATTAAGACTGCATCACAGAAATATAGTCAGAGTGTCAGGGTAAAAGACTGACACTAAAATATTGAATCCAGGAGAAAGCATGAGATAAATGTAAAGTGCCTGTGAGTGAGTGAAAAAGTACTAAGGATACACACAGAAGTAGACAGCGAGGATCAGTCTGTGACAGATAAGTTTGACTGGACAGGGCGGTACAGATTAGAAGAAAATGACAGATGAAGTGACAGAAAATTAGAAAGATCAAACGAAATGACAGATGAATATCACATTGTCATACAGCATAATTATGGCATGTTAAGCAAAATATATTTTATCAGACAGTAGTTTATCAACCCTGACTATACGTAAAGAAAATGTTGTCCAAACTGACATAATGTCATCAAAGAATAATTAAATGGCCACAGCTTTTATCCCTGAGTTGTGAAGGTTGACCTACGTGAGATCGTCCCAGATCTTGGAGGAGAACACCGGCTTGATGGCTTCCACAACTGGGCCCATGACTTCTTCTGAGGCTTCGATATAACACTGGGTCTGAAAGTACATCACCAGATACATTAACACTGACATGCATGACCAAATCTTTCCAATCACTAAAACATATCTGTTCTATTATTTAATCAGATTTATATTCAGCGTGAAATACAAAAATAAGGCAAGAGTATGTGTCTAATTTTATACGAAAACGCCGCTGGAACTATGTCGGCTACGCCCTTAGAATGGATAAATCAAGACTTCCTTACCAAGCCCTCATTTGGACACCACAGGGGAAAAGATCTCGTGGAAGACCAAGGGAAACCCTACGTAGAACTATCACCAGGGAAGGCTCGATCATGGGCCACTCAAACATCCAAGACCTACAACAGATTGCAACGAGCCGCCATGCATGGAGAGTCATGACCTCTGCCCTATGTGCCGCACTCGACACAAGAGGAAAGACTAACTAACTAATATTCAGCGTGAACTCAAAATAGAAAAGTTGGACAATACTGTATCTAACTAATATTCAGCGTGAACTCAAAATAGAAAAGTTGGACAATACTGTATGTAATACGATCATTATAAAATATATTGATGTGTAATGCAGAAGCAAATGGTAAGCCTTACTCTGCATGTTTCATATTTGCTACAGAAACAAACAAAACAAAACAATATAAGATAGACCAAGTGTAAATACCTTTAAAACGGTTGGTTCATTCGGTAATTTATTTATTCATTTATTCAAAGCACAACAATATATTAACAGCTACCTACTTTGCTTGCAGATTTGCCCTTCTTGTCAGATTTTTTCAACTCATCATATCTTACCTGACAAAAGAAAAGGAGGAAAAAGATATAAATGCATTTTTTTTTTTCAGTAGCAGTGACAGCAAAGATAAACAAAATTAAAAGACAAGACATTTAAAAACACTTTTTATAAATAAGCTTAAACTAATGCACTTAACAAGACCTGGATAATTTATCATACATTTCAATGGACATGAATATAAATTATTCTCTTTAAATAATTTAATCATAATTTTATACTACCATTCAAAAGATTAGGGCACCTAACTCAAAAACATAATTCTTAATTCAAACTGTCACAAGTGTAAGTCATTATCTGTATGCATTTGGGTCAGATGGTTTACATACAGACACAATGCAATTATATGTACATTAATTTCACAGGTGCCCTATGCTTTCATTGGTCATTATATAAACTTGTAGAAAAATTATGTAAAAAGAATAATTTACACTTCTGTCCAATAAACTGCATGAAAATTTCCTTTTGTCTTCTAAGTGCATTAAAAATATCTTATTATTTTCTGCAAATTTAAAAAAAAAAAATTTGTAATTTATTTTATAAATTTTTTAGTTCTTACTACACACTATCAATCAAAATAATGTAAATATTATTATTGCATTAGAAGTAGTGCTCAAACAAAGATTCTGTAACCGACAGTCGACAAATAATGGAGCCCAGTTGTGTGTGTGCCACGCAGCCCTTCTGGACATCTACCTGATAAATGTGATACCAAGAGATCAGTAGCTCTGTCTGGATGGCAGACCAACAGGAACTGACAGTCTGACATTGTAAGTCTCAGCGCTGGTGGCAGCCCAGTACAAACCCAAATGCCCTGTTCAACCTTGCAAGAAGTTATAGTTAACACGCTCGTAACGGCCTTACCAGTTATTTTTTCCCCGGTCAGGACTCGTTTTACATTTTTGCATTTAATTAAGGAAACGACCCGATTGTTTTGTTAATCTGAGCTGAAGCTCTTGATCTTAGTCAAAAGGCCACACCAGTCTGGTAAAAGATAGAGCCCTTTGTGGGTGAACAGTACTGCAGCACAGAACTGAGTAGTTCATTTAATGGTTTCTATTTCTCTTTAAAACAAATGGTGTACCATGTAAACATACTGTATGTTTAACCTACAAGATCATCAGCTAAAAACTGCCCCCAATATATTTGCAATAAACAAAATTGCATTTACAATGCATAACTGAGCAAAACTAATGCTTGATAGTCGACTTTAAAATGTGTTTTCAAGAGCATATTTCACACCGCCTTCACACTTTTTTCTCATCTACATCAAACTTCCTCCCAGCTGCTCGATTTTAATTTTTTTTTTTTTTTTACATAACATGCTACTTGCCACTTAAATTTACAACTGCAATTTACTCTTATATGGTCCATCTTTCATTGCTTACAGGTACTGCTGTTTTAGTTCTGGTCTCTGCGAAATTCTAAGACAATTATTGTTTCCTAAAATTATCCTCAGAAAATAAGTGCAACCCATATATGGTTAAAAAAGTATTTCGTTTTTCTTAATAAACGCTGAACAGGACAGATTTTTCAAGCAGATAATACAATAATACAGGCCATATATTCAACTGTAGCATAATACTTCACGTAAACCTATCTACAAGCACACTTACATTGATCGTATGTGCATACAGGGGTCTAGAGAGAAAGAATGCAGCAGAATGGGGTATATGGTAAGTTGTCAGTAGAACATCCACCGGAGGCAACCGCTTGACAAACTCTTCTGTACTCAGCTGCATGGAGAGGAAACTACCAAACTGAACCAGCGTATCCTGACACTGGGAAATTGGAGAGGAAAACAATAACAGTGAAAAAACATGGAGGGACAGACAATGATGGTGGAAAACACTGAGAAATAAACAATGACAGTGGAAAACATAGAGACATAAGTAAATAAAGTGGAAAACATGAAAAGACAATTGATGATGGTGGAAAAAACATGGACAGACAAATGATGATGGTGGAAAACATTTTAAGATAAACAATGACAGTGGAACACATGGAGACATAAATAATGAAAGTGGAAAAACATGAAGAGACAATCGATGACTGTGGAAAACATGAAGAGACGATGACTGTGGAAAACATGGAGAGAACAACAATAACAGTGGAAAACATGGACAGACAAAAAAAAATGACAGTTGAAAACATACAGCTCAATGGATATATAGTAAAACATATGTTAATATAAACTGACTGAAACATTTCTTTAATATGAACACAATTTGATCCCTACAGGGATGTAGTAAGTCTTTAGTTAGCACAAATTTTGTTAACACAAACATTTCACTGCAGTTGCATCTGAGTACTTCCACTGTAGAATACAATACCTCGGAGGGTTACCAACAGACTGTCTGAGCTTGGCTGTATGCTCTTGGGTTCTCCAGGTACTGAGTGCAAGATGTCAGTACTGGCCGTCTTACATCATCACTTGACTGAGCTCTCCAAGTACTGAGTGCAAGATGTCAGTACTGGCTGTCTAAGATCATCGCTTGACTGAGATCTCCAAGTACTGAGTGCAAGATGTCAGTACTGGCTGTCTAAGATCATCGCTTGACTGAGATCTCCAAGTACTGAGTGCAAGATGTCAGTACTGGCTGTCTAAGATCATCGCTTGACTGAGATCTCCAAGTACTGGGTGCAAGATGTCAGTACTAGCTGTCTAACATCATCGCTGTGACTGAGCTCTCCAAGTACTGGGTGCAAGATGTCAGTACTGGCTGTCTAACATCATCGCTGTGACTGAGCTCTCCAAGTACTGGGTGCAAGATGTCAGTACTAGCTGTCTAACATCATCGCTGTGACTGAGCTCTCCAAGTACTGGGTGCAAGATGTCAGTACTGGCTGTCTAACATCATCGCTGTGACTGAGCTCTCCAAGTACTGGGTGCAAGATGTCAGTACTGGCTGTCTAAGATCATCGCTTGACTGAGCTCTCCAAGTACTGGGTGCAAGATGTCAGTACTGGCTGTCTAACATCATCGCTGTGACTGAGATCTCCAAGTACTGGGTGCAAGATGTCAGTACTAGCTGTCTAACATCATCGCTGTGACTGAGCTCTCCAAGTACTGGGTGCAAGATGTCAGTACTGGCTGTCTAACATCATCGCTGTGACTGAGCTCTCCAAGTACTGGGTGCAAGATGTCAGTACTGGCTGGCTAAGATCATCGCTTGACTGAGCTCTCCAAGTACTGGGTGCAAGATGTCAGTACTGGCTGTCTAACATCATCGCTGTGACTGAGATCTCCAAGTACTGGGTGCAAGATGTCAGTACTGGCTGTCTAACATCATCGCTGTGACTGAGATCTCCAAGTACTCAGTGCAAGATGTGAGTACTAGTTGTTTACCATCATTGTTGTAAATGAGCTCGCCAGGTGATGAGTTCAAGATGTGAGTACTGGCTGTCTAACATCATTGTTACGACTGGGGGCTGTGTTAGCAGTCAATAGGAGACCTAGTTTCAAATCCAGCTGCGACTCGCTGTAGCCCACAGCAGGTGTTCGAAACCAGGCGGTTTCTGGGGTTCCCAGTGACTGACTGACTGACTGACTTTCTACCCCACCAGGACATCACACAAGCGATAAACACCCGATGACACAAAGTGCCACCATGCGGATGAGGATCGCCGTGGAGAGGTCCCAGAAACCGCGTTCAGACAGTTGGCCATATGTATGGCCTGCCTATATTGCGGCCCCTGGCAAAAGCCAGAGTAGGGCTTCAAATGGTTCCCAGTGTTAACAGTCTGGCTTAAATAGAGGAACGTCGCTAAAGCGACAGTTTCGTGCGGACAGCGACACAGGCGGATAGTTTCTTATCAGCTGTCCGTACTGGTGGCAGAGACTTATAGTTTATAACAGTGTGCAATAACGCTGATTTACATCTCTTAAATTTAGCTTGATGTATTTTATTTTGAGGACCTGTACTCAAATGAGGGTTTAAAGGCACAAAGACAATAAATGTTTGATCTTACTAATTTTATAATTTTGTTACTCCAAGGGCTTTCCCCCAAAACCCCCTCACAACTTCCCTTCAGGACAATGGTTTACCAGGAAAATAAAGCAATGTGCAAACCTGATCATAGAGCTTGCCGACCAGTTTCAGGTGTTTGTTGGCATCTTCTGCAAATACGGTGCTGTCTCGTTGCTGGGACATCAGCAGGCACAAGGACAGAGCCAGGTCATGCTCCAGCAGGCTATCTTTCAAACGAGTTGAAGACTTCTTTGTGTTTCGCACTTGTGAAAAATTGCTGCCCTAAACACAGGAAGAATTATGGCATCCATTACCTGATGTCATTTCATCTGTCTGCCATTGTCACTAATCCGTCAACTTATGTCATTAATCTGTGAACACCATTATCCAGTCACCAATGTCATTAATCAACTAGCAATGTGTGTATCCTTGGACTAGGCCACTTTCTCTAATCCACACTACCGTTAGAAGTAAAGTGCTTAGGAAAAATAAGAGGTCAGTGGTTGCGCTCAAGGCCAGAAGTCAACAGTCTGTTAACCAATGGTAGTCAACAGTTACCTCTTGTGTTAACCAATGACATTATCCAATTGGTTTGTATCCCTATTGGGTTGACCAATATCAGTAATCTGTTAGCCAAAGGTATTGCATTTTTTCACAGCAAAAAAAGGAAAGAAAAACACGCAATAAAGTTTCAGCACTCCTTCGAACAACAACTCTAGGAGAATGCAATCTTTTGTAACTTGACATTACTTTAACTACCGACCGTATGGGAGACATAATCCACTCTTTGTGTAAGTTCATATAATAACATTCTTTTATTTTTAATACTGTTTCAGATTAGAGTTAGGGCTGGGCTAAGGGTTAGAGTTAGGGTTAACCCTAACCTAAAGCAGTTATAAATATTACAGAACATCATTATGTGGAATTTGGAAGCAATGATGTGGTTTCTGAGACAAATGTTACGAATACCTTGGACGCCCAGAGGAAGTAATAAAAAGTGCTTGAAAGAAGCTAATGAAAGTAGATCTCTACACACAACAATAAGAAAGAGACAAACACTGTTCTTTGGCCACATTATGAGAAGAGAAATATTGGAAAACATCGTGACAACTGGAAATATCAATGGAAAAAGGGGTAGAGGCAGACCAAGAGAGATGATGCTGGAAATTATGGCATGGAGGGATATCATCAAGAGAGCTGTTCTAGGCAACCAGTGATCGTGATCTGTGGAAATGTATGAGCATCTACGCCAGTTGAGAGGGCACATGATGATGATATTGTGACACACACAAACGATGGATTGTCTCTCCTATGGTCTCAGCATACAAACAGTAGATTCACGGACATTCCCCGTCAGCCAAGGAGACTTTCATAAAAAGCCAACACGACACTCAGGTCCAGGGCCAATCAAAGAATTTCTCATATTCACACATTAACGTTTAACACAAAATAACTTCAATGTCACATTCATGTTTGTCAAACACACAGAAACTGACCTCTTGTCTAACCAGCTCCCCTCCGGCCATGGCCTCCAGCTGGTCATCAGTAACCTCCTCGGAGATCTCTATACCTGCCATCTTCTGAACCACCTCCCTCAACAGCAGCAGATCGATACTGAGGAGGGAAGAGAACAGTTTCTACAAGCACATCAAATAACATCAAGGGTCTTTGCTACATACCAAGAATTGTGTAGATGAGACTTTCATCTGCCTTCTCTCCTTCCCTCTGAAGCAGGCCTCAAATACAGCTGGCAGTTAAACACAGGTATTATTAACATATGGTCCCCCCCCCCCCCCCCCCCCCACATTTTACCTCATAGTGTACCATAGACTAAGACTATATAGTGATTCAACAAAAGATTTTCTGTAAACCCCCACCTCCATATCTAGCATAGATGGTTTTCTGTAAACCTCCACCCCCATATCCAGCATAGATGGTTTTCTGTAAACCTCCCACCCCCATATCTAGCATAGATGGTTTTCTGTAAACCTCCACCCCCATATCTAGCATAGATGGTTTTCTGTAAACCTCCCACCTCCATATCTAGCATAGATGGGTTTCTGTAAACCTCCACCCCCATATCTAGCATAGATGGGTTTCTGTAAACCTCCACCCCCATATCTAGCATAGATGGTTTTCTGTAAACCTCCCACCTCCATATCTAGCATAGATGGTTTTCTGTAAACCTCCCACCTCCATATCTAGCATAGATGGTTTTCTGTAAACCTCCCACCCCCATATCTAGCATAGATGGTTTTTCTGTAAACCTCCCACCTCCATATCTAGCATAGATGGTTTTCTGTAAACCTCCCACCCCCATATCTAGCATAGATGGTTTTCTGTAAACCTCCACTCCCATATCTAGCATAGATGGTTTTTCTGTAAACCTCCCACTCCCATATCTAGCATAGATGGTTTTTCTGTAAACCTCCACCCCCATATCTAGCATAGATGGTTTTTCTGTAAACCTCCCACTCCCATATCTAGCATAGATGGTTTTCTGTAAACCTCCACTCCCATATCTAGCATAGATGGTTTTTCTGTAAACCTCCACTCCCATATCTAGCATAGATGGTTTTCTGTAAACCTCCACCCCCATATCTAGCATAGATGGTTTTCTGTAAACCTCCCACCTCCATATCTAGCATAGATGGGTTTCTGTAAACCTCCACCCCCATATCTAGCATAGATGGGTTTCTGTAAACCTCCACCCCCATATCTAGCATAGATGGTTTTCTGTAAACCTCCACTCCCATATCTAGCATAGATGGTTTTCTGTAAACCTCCACCCCCATATCTAGCATAGATGGGTTTCTGTAAACCTCCACCCCCATATCTAGCATAGATGGTTTTCTGTAAACCTCCCACCTCCATATCTAGCATAGATGGTTTTTCTATAAACCTCCACCCCCATATCCAGCATAGATGGGTTTCTGTAAACCTCCCACCTCCATATCTAGCATAGATGGGTTTCTGTAAACCTCGCACCCCCAAATCTAGCATAGATGGTTTTTTGTAAACCTCCCACCCCCATATCTAGCATAGATGGGTTTCTGTAAACCTCCCACCCCCATATCTAGCATAGATGGGTTTCTGTAAACCTCCCACCCCCATATCCAGCATAAATGGTTTTCTGTAAACCTCCACCCCCATATCTAGCATAGATGGGTTTCTGTAAACCTCCAGCTATAGTGGCAACTGAGCCCAGGCTTATAACTGCTGGTGCCACTCCAGGAGAGGACAGTTGATGATGGTTTGAATCAATGAACCAATAAGATGGGATTATAATCAATTCATCTATCACCCCCCCCCCCCTTCTCTCTCTCTCTCTCTCTCTCTCTCCTCCTTTCTCTTCAGCAGACAATACTGAGTGCTCAACAGTTTTCATAATTCACCACATTCTTCTACCAGAAAGAACAAAACACAATTACAGAAAGAAAAACTATTGCCTCCCACCAGACATACAACAAAATACTGATAGTTACAAAAGGATACAGTACCTCTTGCCTGCTTTCAGCTGATTGGCCACGTACTGTAATACTCCTGTGAGTTCAACCTGGTATTTGCGACAGATAGAACCTGCAAAACTGGCCAGACCTGGAGAAGAAAAGAAGTGGTGAGAGAACTCTTGCTGTGAGACAACTGCACAGACTGTAGTGTGTAGGGCCACACAAATATGACCAGGCCTTGAAATAGCCAAGACCAGGAGCACATGATGATGGTGCTGGGCCTACCCATAGACTCAAGTCTCCAGTCTGGCTAACCTTCCAGGCACCACAATCATGTGCCCCATTTCTAAGCTATCTAAAGGAAAGTGTTACATGGATAAATAAATTGACCTAAGCAGAGAGAAAACAAAAAACCCACATGAGCTATCACAAACACAGCAGGGGGAAGGAGATGCAGGATATATTGTTATGTCCATACATACTATCAGTGACCCACCAGACACAGCAGCACCCATACCCTAGTGCCATGGGTGAGACACAGGCCAGATGGACTAGCAGCAAACACCCTGGCTGGCATCCACACCATGACAGGACCCTCTGCCCGGCTGGCACTTAAGCCCTGGCAGGCACCCACACCCTGGCAGGCACCCACACCCTGGCTGGCACCCACACCCTGCCAGTAAGCAGCCAGACAACAACACACACAAGAGACAACACTTACTCTGCAGCCACAGATGAGACAGAGACAGGATGACAGTGGCCAGTAAACAACCAGACAACAACACACACAAGAGACAACACTTACTCTGCAGCCACAGATGAGACAGAGACAGGATGACAGTGGCCAGTAAACAACCAGACAACAACAACACACACAAGAGACAACACTTACTCTGCAGCCACAGATGAGACAGAGACAGGATGACAGTGGCCAGTAAACAACCAGACAACAACACACACACAAGAGACAACACTTACTCTGCAGCCACAGATGAGACAGAGACAGGATGACAGTGGCCAGTAAACAACCAGACAACAACACACACACAAGAGACAACACTTACTCTGCAGCAACAGATGAGACAGAGACAGGATGACAGTGGCCAGTAAACAACCAGACAACAACACACACAAGAGACAACACTTACTCTGCAGCCACAAGGAGATGTTCATGTTATCTGTTTTCATTCTGTCCTTCTCTGGGTTAGCAATGGCTTCAATGATACAGACTTGGATTAGTTAAAGAAACCAATGTTTCATTGTGGAAAAAGCATGTCCAACAAGATGACTAATTAGTGGAGTTTTCTCCCAGTCGCAGTGCATCAGCCTGAGACCTGAGCAACCAACGTCTGCAAACAAACTTTCCGCCAGAGTTTAGATGTGGTGAATGCTAACAGGAAGGAGAAGTGTCCTATTTATTATCAGCAAAGAACTGGCTGGCATACTTTAACCTAGTTCTTTCTCATCCAGCCATCCACAGACAACAAACCTTCAGTTCTGAATGCAATTCTAAAATAAATTTACTTTCTTGATTTTTCCTTGTTTAAAATATGATTATTAAACAGTACAAAGTCTGTAGAATATAACTGGGAACCATTACTTTAATCTATTACCAAGTTCAGCTCACTGATAAAGTTCCAAAATCAATAAAAGGATACATGTCAACATGTCATATGATACTGAGGTCAGATATTTGAGTGCATCTACAACTGGTCCAATCAGGTTGTCGTATCTCTGAATCTGGTTCAACACCTGGTGAAACATAAGCAAACCAATGCAACATCAACACCTGGTGAAACATAAGCAAACCAATGCAATATCAAAACCTAGAGAAACATAAGCAAACCAATGCAATATCAAAACCTAGAGAAACATAAGCAAACCAATGCAATATCAAAACATAGAGAAACATAAGCAAACCAATGCAATATCAAAAACTAGAGAAACATAAGCAAACCAATGCAATATCAAAACCTAGAGAAACATAAGCAAACCAATGCAACAATGTCCAATCTGATAGGGAAAACACACAGGATCTGATGTAGGCATGAATCAGTGAAAAATGTTGGAGAAACACGCAAAATCTCATGTTCAAAATCTAAAGCAATGTTGAATGGAGTGAACACATGAAAAACAAAAACTGTATGAACACTGAAGTCTTAAGTGGGACATATTTCCAGAATTGCCTGGACTGAATATTAATGGGAGAATAATAAACAATCTGAGATATGTGGATGGCACAGTGCTATGAACAATGAAGTCTTAAGTGGGACTTATTTCCAGAATTGCCTGGACTGAATATTAATGGGAGAATAATAAACAATCTGAGATATGTAGATGGCACAGTGCTATGAACAATGAAGTCTTAAGTGGGACATATTTCCAGAATTGCCTGGACTGAATATTAATGGGAGAATAATAAACAATCTGAGATATGTAGATGGCACAGTGCTACTAGCAGAAAACGAGCAGCAGTTACAAGACCTCGTGGATCAAGTCAACATGTGGATGGCACAGTGCTACTAGCAGAAAGCGAGAAGCAATTACAAGAGCTAGTGGATCAAGTCAACACGTGGAGTGCAGAGTATGGTTTAGACATTAACATTCTGAGAACAAAAACCTGTGGTAATTATCAATGGAAAAGAGCGACCAACAGTGAACAACACAGTAAACTGAGAGATGTTAGAACAAGTAACAAGTTTCTCCTATCTTGGACATATAGTAACAGAAGTCAGAAAGATAAAAGGAATGGTTAAAATTATCTTCAATAATGTGTGCAAATTACTGACAAATAAAAAGATATATTAAAAATGAGAATGGTCAAACATTATGTATACTCAACCCTGCTGTATGGTGCAGAAATTTGGACAATAGACAAGCAGTCCTAAATTCAAACCGAGTCTCTGGTAATGTGGAAATACAGAAGAATAGTTTGTATTTCAAGGAAACAAAAACAATCCAATACAGAGGTTCTGAAAAGATGACGAATGAAAAAGGAATTACTGAATGAAATTTTAAAAAGACAACTGAAAAACTCGCCCATTATAAGACATTAACACACTTTTAAAACCAAACTAGAGGGAAAAGTATAAAGCAAGAGAACAAGAGGTAGACAGTGTTTCAAGTGGGAGGACAACACCAAGAAATGGATGTGCAGCAGTCAGAGAATGTATAACCAAGACAAAAGATAGTGTGTTGGAGATCCATTACAGCCAACTTTCAACGCGGAGACCACACCTGACTGATGAATTGCAGCACTGCATAAAATTAAAATTTAGAATATGAGAGCACAAAATTTAATTAGGAAAAGAGAAGAATAAAATTTATGGAACATAATGTTTTTGTGTTAACATTAACATACAAATACTTCGTGTGAAGGAAGGAAGGGAGGGAGCAAGAGAGAGAGAGAGAGAGAAAGAGCAAGAGATGTATAATGACAAGTAAGCAACAGAAAAAAAACTCACATATTCAAAGACAATGCCAGGATTGTTGTGACTCAGCTTGCCAAGTTGCCTTCCAGAAGGTTTTACAGTTTCTTTCGAAAGACGCCTGAAATTTACACAAACAAATAAAAAATTAAAACTGGTTTCCACAAGGGAGGTCATTTGGGGAAAGGGGGGGGGGGGGGGGGGCTGCTAATACTTCACAGTTATCATGCAGGGATGTCTTCAGATAAAAGACAATTGGCTACACTAAATAATGAACAAATACTAGGTAGAGAATCAAATTACTGGCCAGGACCAATGCAGTAGGTGCTAGTGCACCAGCATCATATTCTCTCTTCTAGTCAAGTTTACACGTCAGGTTGTAGGGATGTCTGCTGATTTACTTCAGAGCCAAACAGGACTACCAAACAGCTTTCATGTGGATGTTTATGACTGCAATGTTACAAACTGGCATACTTTGCTTCCAGGCCGAGTCTACACTTAACTTTCCTCTGATAGATATGGGTCCCTTTTTTGAGAACCCAGACAGCCTTATCATCCATGCTTCCACTTAACCCAGTCTTCTAGGCCAACAGTTCTCAACCATTTTGTCCAACAGAGCCCTTTTTAGAATTCATTTCTTTGACAGAGCCCCTTTAGCCTAACGTAAGATACACAGATTCTAATGTTTGTTTCTTAATCTTTAACTTATGAAATTTCTATTTATATCCCTGAAACATCAGCTGTTCTAGATGATTCATCCAGCAACCAACAATGTCACTTCACCAAACACAACTTACTTCATGATGTACTTGGCTCTCTCCAGGCAGTCAGCTCTGGCCCGTATAAGAATGGGATAACTGAAGTACATCTCATTCTTCCATGTTCCGTATAATCGATACCTAGAAAAATATGTACAAGTCACCTCATGAAAACTTAATGAGTTTTCATAACTCACAAACATAAAATGAGTGTCTATAACTCACAAAAATATAAGGAGTATGCATAATTCACAAAAATATGAGTGCATAACTCAAAATTTAAAAGGAGTATCTATAACATACAATTCACAAAAATATAATGACTGTGCATACCTCACACATACATAGTTAGTACGCATAACTCACAAATCATGAGTGTGTAATTCTACTAAAAGAATGTGAACTGACAACTTCATGGTGCCAGTATGTAGGTATCATCATTATCATTAAACGTGCTGCCTATTGTTGTTGACAATATTTTACACCCTGCCATCTCCTACAGCATGTATCATGTCCAGCACTGACAATGATACTTCACACCCTGCCATCTCCTACAGCATGTATCATGTCCAGCACTGACAAAGATACTTCACACCCTGCCCTGTCATCTCCTACAGCATGTATCATCTCCTACAGCATATATCATGTCCAGTGCTGACAATGATACTTCACACCCTGCCATCTCCTACAGCATGTATCATCTCCTACAGCATGTATCATGTCCAGTGCTGACAATGATACTTCACACCCTGCCATCTCCTACAACATGTATCATCTCCTACAACATGTATCATCTCCTACAGCATGTATCATGTCCAGCGCTGACAATGATACTTCACACCCTGCCATCTCCTACAGCATGTATCATCTCCTACAGCATGTATCATGTCCAGCACTGACAATGATACTTCACACCCTGCCATCTCCTACAGCATGTATCATCTCCTACAGCATGTATCATGTCCAGTGCTGACAATGATACTTCACACCCTGCCATCTCCTACAACATGTATCATCTCCTACAGCATGTATCATGTCCAGCACTGACATTGATACTTCACACCCTGCCATCTCCTACAACATGTATCATCTCCTACAGCATGTATCATGTCCAGCACTGACAATGATACTTCACACCCTGCCATCTCCTACAGCATGTATCATCTCCTACAGCATGTATCATGTCCAGCACTGACAATGATACTTCACACCCTGCCATCTCCTACAGCATGTATCATCTCCTACAGCATGTATCATGTCCAGCACTGACAATGATACTTCACACCCTGCCATCTCCTACAGCATGTATCATGTCCAGCTCTGACAATGATACTTCACACCCTGCCATCTCCTACAGCATGTATCATCTCCTACAGCATGTATCATCTCCTACAGCATGTATCATGTCCAGCTCTGACAATGATACTTCACACCCTGCCCTGCCATCTCCTACAGCATGTATCATGTCCAGCTCTGACAATGATACTTCACACCCTGCCATCTCCCACAGCATGTATCATGTCCAGCTCTGACAATGATACTTCACACCCTGCCATCTCCTAGAACATGTATCATCTCCTACAGCATGTATCATGTCCAGCTCTGACAATGATACTTCACACCCTGCCATCTCCTACAGCATGTATCATGTCCAGCTCTGACAATGATACTTCACACCCTGCCCTGCCATCTCCTACAGCATGTATCATCTCCTACAGCATGTATCATGTCCAGTGCTGACAATGATACTTCACACCCTGCCATCTCCTACAACATGTATCATCTCCTACAGCATGTATCATGTCCAGCTCTGACAATGATACTTCACACCCTGCCCTGCCATCTCCTACAGCATATATCATGTCCAATGCTGACAATGATACTTCACACCCTGCCATCTCCTACAACATGTATCATCTCCTACAGCATGTATCATCTCCTACAGCATGTATCATCTCCTACAGCATGTATCATCTCCTACAGCATGTATCATCTCCTACAGCATGTATCATCTCCTACAGCATGTATCATCTCCTACAGCATGTATCATCTCCTACAGCATGTATCATCTCCTACAGCATGTATCATCTCCTACAACATGTATCATCTCCTACAGCATGTATCATGTCCTACAGCATGTATCATCTCCTACAGCATGTATCATCTCCTACACCATGTATCATCTCCTACAGCATGTATCATGTCCAGTGCTGACAATGATACTTCACACCCTGCCATCTCCTACAACATGTATCATCTCCTACAGCATGTATCATGTCCAGCTCTGACAATGATACTTCACACCCTGTCATCTCCTACAGCATGTATCATGTCCAGCTCTGACAATGATACTTCACACCCTGCCATCTCCTACAGTATGTATTATGTCCAGCGCTGAAATCTTTACATCTGCCAACAATGATCTTGCGTCTTCACCTTTCATTCCACCAATCATTGTGCCCAATATATGACTGTGCAAAGTATGTAAGAATATCTCAACAACAACAACAACAAAATTATGTACAAAAAACTAAATGAAAACATATTTCCCCCAAGCTCACTGGTCAAGATGTCAATGGAGATGTTGGCTGGTTGTTTGTGTGCATGCACTCATGTCTTTATTTCATCTAGTTTTCTGGTCACACTTCTGTTCCTTCATATTTCCATATCATCTCAACAGCTTCTGTGTTACATAACTAGCTACATGACTGACTATAGTTTACACAAGACAAGAAGCAATGAATGAACCAAGAACTGACTTTGCTGCACTTTAGACATTCCGCAATGTGCTCCCTCTCCTTCCTCAGGAGCCAACAAAGAATCCCCATGCTAATAGTGCCAGTTGTAATTTGATTAAAAGTTTGCTTGTGTTTGCTCAGTGTCGAATAACTTCCAGAACCCTTGCTCTCGCCTTGGGAAAGCTACATTACTGCCTCCACCTCCACAACACACTGACATAATGTAGGTAGAACACCACTCACCTAATCTCATATGGGTACATCTTGAGGAGACTCCACAACTCCTCAGCCAGTGAGCAATTGCTTGGAAGCAGGGAGAGTGACGGCAACAGGACTTCTTCCAGAACATTCAGGAAGCCATAGTAGGCAATCCTGTCATCAGGGTCCAGATCACCGGAGTGACGCTAGGATTAAACATTAGTAAGAAACTGTTGATGAGACTGATATGGTCAGTGCAAGCACAAAAGAGAATCTCACGGAAGGACATCAACTAGACATGGAAAGTAGGTTGGGTCTGAATTCTCTGCACATTTGTACTCGGACGCAATAACCAAACTGAGCCAGGCATTGACAATCAAGTTGTCTGAGTTGTGATACTATAAATGATTTTTTACAATGAAATCAGTGTTGAGAACTTCCTTCAAACCTAGTTCTGAAACACCATGTCCACAGGGACTGTGTGCCGCAGGTTATCTTCCTCTCTGAAAGTGCACAAACTTACAGGTTGTAAGACTAATTCTGGAACTTCAGATTTATTGAGAAGTCAGAAATTCTGGGAAAGCTGGCCAGACTGGAGACCCAGTCCGTCAACAGGTCACTCAACGAAGAAAAGCCCCAAAATTACGACCAGCTGTCAAATCTGCTGCTTACCTCAACATCAGCTACCAATGGACCAGGGGAACAGAAATGTACAAACATGATTTTAGGTGTAAACAGCTGTCAGATACATACAGAAATGTACAAACATGATTTTAGGTGTAAACAGCTGTCAGATACATACAGAAATGTAGGCACAAAATATTACATCACTGAGGAGATGCACTAAAGACAATACAGTGAACAGATGGACATGAGGTTCATTCAAGTCTTCTCTGATATCAACAGAAAAACTGCAGTTTAATTAAAACTGTTTAAACAGCTCCTTGTTTTTAGTTTATGATCTCAAATCAAGACTTCAGTATTTTTACTGTTTTCAACAAGCCAGAATATTCTCTACAATCAATTTCCTACAGTCAACCAGCCAGAAAATTTCCTACAATCAACAAGCCAGAATATTCTCTACAATCAAACAGCCAGAATATTCTATACAATCAACCAGCCAGAATATTTCCTACAATCAATCTTCTTCTTCTTCTCTTCCACCTTTTACCTCATCGAAGTGACAGGGGGATGTAATGTTGGTGAGCTCTGTCAAGAGCACTATTAAGACTGATTTTCCTTTCTGTAAAGCTGTTCTTAATGCCATCACTCCATCTTTTCCGAGATATAATAAATCACCCAGAATATTGCCAACAATCAACCACCCAGAATATTGCCAACAATCAACCACCCAGAATATTGCCAACAATCAACCACCCAGAATAATGCCTACAATCAACCACCCAGAATAATGCCTACAATCAACCAGTCAGAATATTGCCAACAATCAACCACCCAGAATAATGCCTACAATCAACCAGTCAGAATAATGCCTACAATCAACCAGTCAGAATAATGCCTACAATCAACCAGTCAGAATAATGCCTACAATCAACCAGTCAGAATAATGCCTACAATCAACCAGTCAGAATAATGCCTACAATCAACCAGCCAGAATAATGCCAACAATCAACCAGTCAGAATAATGCCTACAATCAACCAGTCAGAATAATGCCTACAATCAACCAGTCAGAATAATGCCTACAATCAACCAGTCAGAATAATGCCTACAATCAACCAGTCAGAATAATGTCTCAATCAACCAGTCAGAATAATGCCTACAATCAACCAGTCAGAATATTTCCTACAATCAACCAGTCAGAATAATGCCTACAATCAACCAGTCAGAATATTTCCTACAATCAACCAGTCAGAATAATGCCTACAATCAACCAGTCAGAATAATGCCTACAATCAACCAGTCAGAATAATGCCTACAATCAACCAGTCAGAATAATGCCTACAATCAACCAGTCAGAATAATGCCTACAATCAACCAGTCAGAATAATGCCTACAATCAACCAGTCAGAATATTTCCTACAATCAACCAGTCAGAATAATGCCTACAATCAACCAGTCAGAATAATGCCTACAATCAACCAGTCAGAATATTTCCTACAATCAACCAGTCAGAATAATGCCTACAATCAACCAGTCAGAATAATGCCTACAATCAACCACCCAGAATATTGCCTACAATCAACCAGTCAGAATAATGCCTACAATCAACCAGCCAGAATAATGCCTACAATCAACCAGTCAGAATAATGCCTACAATCAACCAGTCAGAATAATGCCTACAATCAACCAGTCAGAATAATGCCTACAATCAACCAGTCAGAATAATGTCTCAATCAACCAGTCAGAATAATGCCTACAATCAACCAGTCAGAATATTGCCTACAATCAACCAGTCAGAATAATGCCTACAATCAACCAGTCAGAATATTTCCTACAATCAACCAGTCAGAATAATGCCTACAATCAACCAGTCAGAATAATGCCTACAATCAACCAGTCAGAATAATGCCTACAATCAACCAGTCAGAATAATGCCTACAATCAACCAGTCAGAATAATGCCTACAATCAACCAGTCAGAATAATGCCTACAATCAACCAGTCAGAATAATGCCTACAATCAACCAGTCAGAATATTGCCTACAATCAACCAGTCAGAATAATGCCTACAATCAACCAGTCAGAATAATGCCTACAATCAACCAGTCAGAATATTGCCTACAATCAACCAGTCAGAATAATGCCTACAATCAACCAGTCAGAATAATGCCTACAATCAACCAGTCAGAATAATGCCTACAATCAACCAGTCAGAATATTGCCTACAATCAACCAGTCAGAATAATGCCTACAATCAACCAGTCAGAATAATGCCTACAATCAACCAGTCAGAATAATGCCTACAATCAACCAGTCAGAATAATGCCTACAATCAACCAGTCAGAATAATGCCTACAATCAACCAGTCAGAATAATGCCTACAATCAACCAGTCAGAATATTTCCTACAATTAACCAGCCAGAATAATCAAACCAATCCAGCAAGCTTACCTTGGACATAAGGGTCTTGGCTAATCTGATCATCTTGACCATCAGCACGGGATCCCGAGAGGCATAGGGGCCTAAGTAGGACAACATGGGCATGGCCAGGTGATACAGCTGCTGGAATGTCTGGGCTTGAGCAAAGTCCCCCTTGTGCTCATACTTGACTCTTTTCTTTGCCAGCAGCGGGTTCAAGCCGGTATTCCTGCAACATTTTTATGTAAATCAATGCTGAACTGTGCTCCTGAACAATACTGTTGTAATCATAAACATGACAGCACATGAAACAGGATTTCAGGGCAGCCAAAGACTGGTGGCCACAAATTCCAGCCTGTCATACACCAGGTGGGAATGGCCAGTTCCTGTCCTCCCAGAAAAAGTCAGAACTTTGAGTGTCTGTCTGTCTTGCTTACAGAAAGAAAGTCTAAATGTTGTCTGGTACCCACGGTTACAAGACGGGGCTGACCCCCGAGCCATACAGGTCAGACAAAAAAAACTTGCCTCTGGTGGGATTTTTCAACTCAAACCAGTGTATCAGAAGGCAAGCATACATACCTTCATGGTAGTGTCGCCAGATGCAATATGATAGATAAACATTGGATAAGACAAGCAGTCATGAGAAAATATTGATACAAACATGCGTAACTGGATTAACCATGAGGTCATCATTTCTTCATTGTTAGCATTTCAGAATGAGTTAGTTCTGACATGATCTCTGGTGCTCCTCGTGTGAGTTCCAGACCCTAGTTTGGGAACACAACAACAGACCACCCCCCCCCCCCCCCCCCCACTTAAAGAAACATGCTGTACAAGGTAACTAATAAGGTGTTTCCTTCAAAGCCGGTGTACATCCCTCTGAGGAACAAAGGTCTGCATATAATTAAGTCAGACCTGTAAAACAGATGTCAAGTTTTGGAACAAGACTAATGTCTAGAAGTTACACAACCAGGACTTTCTGTCAAGTTTCAGCTGGGGAAAAATAAAAGATTTCTGAAGTATTTTCCAAACAAATTTATTGCTTCAAATATGTTGAATATACAGATATTTTCTACAAGAAAACATTTCTGCACATCGTTAGAAATGAAAAACTAACTGACCTTTCATACACTGGTTCAATGACTCTGTGTACAAGCAAACACAAAGCTTGAGATATGCAAGGGTGAACAATGGCAAAGTTCTCTGGTAATCTGTCAAAGATGGCTTTGGCTTTCTCCCATGCTCCAATTTCCAGCAGAGCCTCACACAGGCCTAACTTCTGGTTATTTTCTCTCTGCAGTTAGGAATAACAATAACAGTGTACTTGAATGAAAACAATTAAAGACACACTTTATTGGAACATCTTTAGTACACAAATTGTGACTAACAAAGGATCACACTCAAAAAGGTAAAAGTTATCACTTCAGCTTTCAACTTATCCTGAGTCCCTTGAACTCCCAAACAACAAATAAAAGGTAGAACATTATGCCAAGGATGGGACTCAGGGCCAGTCACACAGCATACAATGTTTCACATTCAAATCACCAAAACCCCAAATAAAACAAATGCTACTGCTTCAAACAAATGGGACACTTGTTCGTTATTCTGAATATAAAAATTTGTACTTTCTTAATAGCTGACCACAAACAGGGGAAATCCACAGGTCGCGGGACAGTAAAATATTTCAGGGGGTGGTAGATACGGAGTATAGTTTTGGTTAGGGTTAGGTAAACGCGCGAAAACCATGGCCTTGGAAGAAATGTGCTGAAGCACAGAAAACCCACTCTAACCACCCTCTAAAATAATGGAATGTCGCACAACGCCATTTGTGGTCAGCTAAAAAGAAAGCACCTACAAATCTCCAACAGACAAATGCACACACAGCTTTAACGTAGCAAGGGATTTTTTTTTTTTAAATTGATAATACATTTAGTGATTAAAAGTGGACAAACAAAACTGATACATCTCAATACACAAAGTGAAAAAAATATATAAAAATAAAATTAAAAAAACCGATGAACACCTTCCAACATCACAAATGAAAAAGCTTTCCTGTAACCAGACCATTTGCAAGTGTACAATGATGTAGAGTGTCACAACACTTGCAAGTGTACAATGATGTAGAGAGTGTCACAACACTTGCAAGTGTACAATGATGTAGAGAGTGTCACAACACTTAAGGGTCTCAAATCAACAACGATGCTGCTGAGTTGTGAGTTATGAGTACAGCAAGGACAAATGACCCAGCCCCTAATGAGGAGCTGATCAATAAACAACACTGACCACATCAACAATCTGCTGCTCGTCATCTTTCTTGTCATCTTCCTTCTTGTCAGACAGCACCACAGTGTTGAGTCTTCTGGCATAGGCTTTGGCATCAGTCATTTCTTTGTTGCTAAATGGGATGATTTCCGAGTCCAAGGGCAGCAGCTACAAGGAGAAAAACCAAATCAACTGTTATCTGTACACCGTCTGTTTTACACAGCCAATAATTACAACTATATCATCATCATGTGCCCTGCTATTAAGCGAGGTCAATTATGTTTCACCCTCACCCCCTCCCTCCTCAAATCATGGATGTCAATTCTCTTATCTTATCCCATTCATCCAGGTATTCATCTCTTTGCGTTCCCCTACTCTTATTCCATCAAATTGGAAAGTTGTAACCAAGGTTTCCATTAATTCATTTTTAAAACAAATAAAAAAAACAAAGTATATGTATAATTTCTCTAACCAGTTCAACAATTCTATAAACATACATAATTAAAGTCTTTAACAGTACAAAATACATAAGTGAATGCATCTGATAATAGCTCAACAAGTCTGAGTATAACTCAAACAAGGTGTAACAGCTGAAGCTACAACACATACAACAGTCCACATAGAAGGAGTCAAGAGAATGTCACATGCTGAGTTGACTGGATACACAACTTACATATGGATACAGGTCATCCAGGTCCAGCAGATCATGCTTCAGCAGCAGGGCGGCACAAGTGAACAGGGACTTGGGCGTGCTCCACACTGCAGACTAGAAAACATTGTCACCTGTTGGTTACAGTATTCAATCTTTCTTTCCTCTGCTACCTTTGACTGTTAAGAATTGTATGAGCTCTTCTCTATTTTGGACTCATTAAACATAAACACTTGTGTTAGATGCTGATCCTGATCAGGAATGTACTCAGCCATGCTCACAAGTATGATGAAACATTGTCCCACCAATGTAGTTGCCGGTGCACTCACTGGCTTGCTGGGTGATCCTAGGTTCAACACCCCTACTGAATAATGTGTGTGACCACATGGTTCTGTGAATATTGCAGTAAAACTGGCACTGAAACATTTTCGAAGACATGGCATCTAATTTACAATTATAATACATTTTAAAGTATAGTAGATTCACTTTTAAGCAAAAGTCATTTCCAAAAAAGGATGCATTAGATACAAATACAAAGGCTGTAGCACACAGTTGTGGTTTTGTCACCTCACTGATACCAGGTTGTAGCCCAGTGTTGTGGTTCTGTCACCTCACTGATACCAGGTTTTAGCCCAGTGTTGTGGTTCTATCACCTCACTGATACCAGGTTGTAGCCCAGTGCCACTGCTCTGTCATCTCACTGATACCAGGCTGTAGCCCAGTGTTGTGGTTTAGTCATCTCAGTGATACCAGGTTGCAACCCACTGTCACGGTTCTGTCATCTCACTGATACTAGGCTGTAGCCCAGTGTTGTGGTTCTGTCATCTCACTGATACTAGGTTGTAGCCCAGTGTTGTGGTTTTGTCGTCTCACTGATACCAGTTTGTAGCCAAGTTTTGTGGTTTTGTCGCCTCAATGATACCTGGTTGTAGCCCAGTTTTGTAGTTTTGTCGCCTTACTGATAACAGGTTATAGCCCAGTGTCGTGGTTTGGTCTTACTGATACCAGATTGTAGCCTAGTGTCGTGGTTTTGTTGTTTCACTGATACCAGATTGTAGCCTAGTGTCGTGGTTTTGTTGTTTCACTGATACCAGATTGTAGCCTAGTGTCGTGGTTTTGTTGTTTCACTGATACCAGATTGTAGCCTAGTGTCGTGGTTTTGTTGTTTCACTGATACCAGATTGTAGCCTAGTGTCGTGGTTTTGTTGTTTCACTGATACCAGATTGTAGCCTAGTGTCGTGGTTTTGTTGTTTCACTGATACCAGATTGTAGCCTAGTGTCGTGGTTTTGTTGTCTCACTGATACCAGATTGTAGCCTAGTGTCGTGGTTTTGTTGTTTCACTGATACCAGATTGTAGCCTAGTGTCGTGGTTTTGTTGTTTCACTGATACCAGATTGTAGCCCAGTGTCGTTGTTTGGTCTCACTGATACCAGATTGTAGCCCAGTGTCGTGGTTTGGTCTCACTGATACCAGATTGTAGCCCAGCGTCGTGGTTTTGTTGTTTCACTGATACCAGATTGTAGCCCAGCGTCGTGGTTTTGTTGTTTCACTGATACCAGATTGTAGCCCAGCGTCGTGGTTTTGTTGTTTCACTGATACCAGATTGTAGCCCAGCGTCGTGGTTTTGTTGTTTCACTGATACCAGATTGTAGCCCAGTGTCGTGGTTTTGTTGTTTCACTGATACCAGATTGTAGCCTAGTGTCGTGGTTTTGTTGTTTCACTGATACCAGATTGTAGCCTAGTGTCGTGGTTTTGTTGTTTCACTGATACCTGGTTGTAGCCCAGTTTTGTTGTTTCATTGATACCTGGTTGTAGCCCAGTTTTGTTGTTTCATTGATACCTGGTTGTAGCCCAGTTTTGTTGTTTCATTGATACCTGGTTGTAGCCCAGTGTTGTTGTTTCATTGATACCTGGTTGTAGCCCAGTGTTGTTGTTTTATTGATACCTGGTTGTAGCCCAGTGTCGTGGTTTTGTTGTTTCATTGATACCTGGTTGTAGCCCAGTGTTGTTGTTTCATTGATACCTGGTTGTAGCCCAGTTTTGTTGTTTCATTGATACCTGGTTGTAGCCCAGTGTTGTTGTTTCATTGATACCTGGTTGTAGCCCAGTGTTGTTGTTTCATTGATACCTGGTTGTAGCCCAGTGTCGTGGTTTTGTTGTTTCATTGATACCTGGTTGTAGCCCAGTGTCGTGGTTTTGTTGTTTCATTGATACCTGGTTGTAGCCCAGTGTTGTTGTTTCATTGATACCTGGTTGTAGCCCAGTTTTGTTGTTTCATTGATACCTGGTTGTAGCCCAGTGTTGTTGTTTCATTGATACCTGGTTGTAGCCCAGTGTTGTTGTTTCATTGATACCTGGTTGTAGCCCAGTGTTGTTGTTTCATTGATACCTGGTTGTAGCCCAGTGTCGTGGTTTTGTTGTTTCATTGATACCTGGTTGTAGCCCAGTGTTGTTGTTTCATTGATACCTGGTTGTAGCCCAGTGTCGTGGTTTTGTTGTTTCATTGATACCTGGTTGTAGCCCAGTGTCGTGGTTTTGTTGTTTCATTGATACCTGGTTGTAGCCTAGTTTTGTTGTTTCATTGATACCTGGTTGTAGCCTAGTTTTGTTGTTTCATTGATACCTGGTTGTAGCCCAGTGTCATGGTTTTGTTGTTTCATTGATACCTGGTTGTAGCCCAGTGTCATGGTTTTGTTGTTTCATTGATACCTGGTTGTAGCCTAGTTTTGTTGTTTCATTGATACCTGGTTGTAGCCTAGTTTTGTTGTTTCATTGATACCTGGTTGTAGCCTAGTTTTGTTGTTTCATTGATACCTGGTTGTAGCCCAGTGTTGTTGTTTCATTGATACCTGGTTGTAGCCCAGTGTTGTTTCATTGATACCTGGTTGTAGCCTAGTGTTGTTGTTTCATTGATACCTGGTTGTAGCCCAGTGTTGTTGTTTCATTGATACCTGGTTGTAGCCTAGTGTTGTTGTTTCATTGATACCTGGTTGTAGCCCAGTGTTGTTGTTTCATTGATACCTGGTTGTAGCCCAGTGTTGTTGTTTCATTGATACCTGGTTGTAGCCCAGTGTTGTTGTTTCATTGATACCTGGTTGTAGCCCAGTGTTGTTGTTTTCATTGATACCTGGTTGTAGCCCAGTGTCGTGGTTTTGTTTGTTTCATTGATACCTGGTTGTAGCCCAGTGTCGTGGTTTTTGTTGTTTCATTGATACCTGGTTGTAGCCCAGTGTTGTTGTTTCATTGATACCTGGTTGTAGCCCAGTTTTGTTGTTTCATTGATACCTGGTTGTAGCCCAGTGTTGTTGTTCATTGATACCTGGTTGTAGCCCAGTGTTGTTGTTTCATTGATACCTGGTTGTAGCCCAGTTTTGTTGTTTCATTGATACCTGGTTGTAGCCCAGTGTCGTGGTTTAGTCTCATTGATACCAGGTTATAGCCCAGTGTCGTGGTTTGGTCTCATTGATACCAGGTTATAGCCCAGTGTCGTGGTTTTGTTGTTTCACTGATACCTGGTTGTAGCCCAGTGTCGTGGTTTTGTTGTTTCTTTGATACCTGGTTGTAGCCTAGTGTTGTTGTTCTACTGATACCTGGTTGTAGCCCAGTTTTGTTGTTTCATTGATACCTGGTTGTAGCCCAGTTTTGTTGTTTCATTGATACCTGGTTGTAGCCCAGTTTTGTTGTTTCATTGATACCTGGTTGTAGCCCAGTTTTGTTGTTTCATTGATACCTGGTTGTAGCCCAGTTTTGTTGTTTCATTGATACCTGGTTGTAGCCCAGTTTTGTTGTTTCATTGATACCTGGTTGTAGCCCAGTTTTGTTGTTTCATTGATACCTGGTTGTAGCCCAGTGTTGTTTCATTGATACCTGGTTGTAGCCTAGTGTTGTTGTTTCATTGATACCTGGTTGTAGCCCAGTGTTGTTGTTTCATTGATACCTGGTTGTAGCCTAGTGTTGTTTGTTTCATTGATACCTGGTTGTAGCCCAGTGTTGTTGTTTCATTGATACCTGGTTGTAGCCCAGTGTTGTTGTTTCATTGATACCTGGTTGTAGCCCAGTGTTGTTGTTTCATTGATACCTGGTTGTAGCCCAGTGTTGTTGTTTCATTGATACCTGGTTGTAGCCCAGTGTTGTTGTTTCATTGATACCTGGTTGTAGCCCAGTGTCATGGTTTTGTTGTTTCATTGATACCTGGTTGTAGCCTAGTGTTGTTGTTTCATTGATACCTGGTTGTAGCCCAGTGTTGTTGTTTCATTGATACCTGGTTGTAGCCCAGTGTTGTTGTTTCACTGATACCTGGTTGTAGCCCAGTGTTGTTGTTTCATTGATACCTGGTTGTAGCCCAGTGTTGTTGTTTCACTGATACCTGGTTGTAGCCCAGTGTTGTTGTTTCACTGATACCTGGTTGTAGCCCAGTGTTGTTGTTTCACTGATACCTGGTTGTAGCCCAGTGTTGTTGTTTCATTGATACCTGGTTGTAGCCCAGTGTTGTTGTTTCACTGATACCTGGTTGTAGCCCAGTGTTGTTGTTTCATTGATACCTGGTTGTAGCCCAGTGTCATGGTTTTGTTGTTTCACTGATACCTGGTTGTAGCCTAGTGTCATGGTTTCCTGTACTTGTCTTTCCACAGTTATCCACAAATCAAAAAATCACACGAACCTAAGCGGATCAGCAGGGTAATTGTTAAATTAAGAATCGATATCATAGTACTTAGGACACTACCATAAGCGACCCATCCCCATCTTCAGCAGCAAGCAGATAGTTCCAATTCCAATGGCACCAGTTACTGATTGTATATCCGTCTCGCCTTTCCCTTGAAGTGTTGAGCATCAGCCAGATCCCCTGGCAACTCCTCGCAGCGCCATCTCCTCAGAACGTAGCGATCTATTTGAGCTTCTGCACTGTTCGCTCGCTCCCAGAGAGCTATAACCTCTAGCTTGTCATACATCAGTTCACCACTATGTGGGTGCAGAACTGGCCAGTATATCTATATATATTTTTCAACGCACTGGAATTACCTGGAGAGAATATCCAAAGGATGCTAACGACATTGGACCTCTTAAGTGATGCTTGCCGCTCTGTACTCCACCTTTCTCAACATGCTCTGTGAGTCAGTTACAATCACGGCATGTGTGTATAGCTGATTCTCAAGCCAGCAGAAGGCAGCAGTGACTGCCTCCACCTCCATTCTCAAACTAGATGTTGTGATATAATATGCCAGGCTTTGTTGCACTAAGCGACGTCCATTCGCTTTTGCTACGAACCCCGAAGCACTTCGTATGCCCCTCAACATAGAGCCATCTGTAGAGATAATCACCTCACTTGGGCGGGAATTGTCATTAATCAATAGTTGAACGATTCTGCAGCGCAAGCTGGCCAGTCCCTGCACCCACGACATAAAGTGATAAGAACACCGCACAAGTCTGAAACTTGCTTGGATACTTTGACCCACTCTCCACCTCGCACATATTTATCAAGCCTGTACACAAGTCTTCAGATTGAGCCATCCAAGACCTTTCTCTTTTCAGTCTGTGACCCTTAGTTCTACTCAGGGCTTCATGCAAGAGGTGCTTCTTGTATGCAGTTACTGAGATATGACTTTGCTTGCCGAACACTGAGCCTATCTGCAATAGTAAGCAGTGCAAGGCATATATTGCATACATACTACCGGCGAATCTCTTGCATATCCCAGAATTACCCGCATGGCTTTATTCTATATGCATTCGAGTTTCATCAGCTGACTCTTTGATATGGTAAGCATTCCAAGTTCACTGACAGGATCATATGCTGGAACACTGAACAGCATTCTTTGTTCCATGTCCATTGCTGCCAAAATCTTGAGAGTATTGAGCCCTTTTTGGCATTTCCCCACAACTGCCGCCACATGATCAATGAAGGACAGGCTTCTATCGAAAATGACACCTAGGTACCTCAGCTTGCTTTCTCATCATGTTACTGTTATAATTGTGAGGCTTGAAACATTAGCTCTTACATTTCTATTGTCCATTGAGCACCACAAAACAGCCGCCTTTTCTGAGTTGATGACAGCCCTCGATTCTGCACACCAGTCAGTCACTTTGTCTACAGTTGCCTGTAGCTCTTGGGCTATCCATTGCCTGTTACAACAGGGTACAAGGATGGAAGCATCAATTGTCAATGTCAGCTGATGACATGGCAGCCCCAGATCTCCAAGTAGATCATCAATGTTGTGTAGATTGTGGCTAGTTCTATGTATAAGTTTCAAATATCACCTATTCAGCTTTTTCGGTTCTTGATCTTCCAATGGTGCCTAAAATCACAAGCATATACCAAGGGCCTGGTCTGTCGACCTGATGATTCTGCAGTGAGTTTTCAGTGATATGAGGTGGCCTTTCTCACACCAGCCCTCCTTAGATAGACATTCTAGTTGACAGTGTGACTATTCCTAGCTCGGGTCGCACCAGCAACCCTTGGCCACAAATTTTCTAGTTGACAGTGTGACTATTTCTAGCTCGGGTCGCACCAGCAACCCTTGGCCACAAATTTTCTAGTTGATGTGTGACTATTCTTAGCTCGGGTCACAAATAGAATGGGTTTTTTTTTTAAATAGTTTTCTCTGTTTAATTGACTACACAGAGATTGTCAAGTAACCAACACATAAACTGGCTGTTATATTTAAAAAAAAAAATTTTTTAATTCACAGTTCCTGAATGTAAATCTCTAAAGTTTTGACGTGTATAAGGTGGTCCAGTGACCAAGCAATCCAATCTGATGAAAAGTGACATCAATTGCTGATGACTCTCTCTTGCCAATCTGAGAAAGATACTGTGCCCTTCAGCTTTCCCCTTGGTCATCTTTTCCTGACTACAGAGCCATGTGATCCTATGAAACAATACAGATCTAAAACAACCCTAACTATATTCTAGACATACCCACAACAGAGTTTATTTTAGATTCTTTCTTTCTTATAGATACAGTAAATGCTTTTCATAACCATGTACCTGTACAGAGCCTTTGTTTGTAAACTGTCAACCATTTCTAAAACAGTGACTGTCTAATATCTTTCCTTCCGCCTTTCTACTTCCCTTCCAACTTTCTAGTTATCACAGCATATTCCAGTTTCCCCCCATGAATGTGTATGACCTCTTTCAAAAGATAATCAGTTCTCTCTACAAGTTCTTCTTCAGAAACATCTTCATTACTCTTTTTAATATGTCCATGATTTCTGATCATTCTACAATAAAACCCTAATTCTGCAGCTTCAATATAATTATTCATGAATCGACTGATTGTCCATGGTTCACTTTTCACTGGAACGGCTAAGAAAAATCCACAAAGTCAATAATATATCTGGCCACTTACCTCCCTGATGTGAAATTTGAAGCCCAGGATGTGACACAGTGTCAATTTGTCGATGATGTAGGCACGTAGAAGAGGAATATAAAATGAATGGTCTTCTGGATGGCACTCAAATGCTTCAAGTATGATGTCCAACACACGGTTGGGATCCAAATCAAAACAACCTGGAAGTGTTCAATCAAAAAATATCGAGTATAAATGTGGGTGGTGTTAAAAGAAGGAGAAAGTAGATAAACAGCAATCATTCTTTTTTTTTCTAAATATAGGTATACATTGATCAGCCTCTTCAAACTGATACTCGGCAGGGCTATTCAACTGGCCCGTGGAGGCCTAGCAAGTGGCCCCTGCACCACTGCCATCTGTATTATATTAATTTTCTGTCCATGCCGGGACTTGAGCCCTTGGCACATGAAGATTTCCATTTTTAAAATGTTGGCCATTAAGTTATCTTAGTCAAATAATCCTGTTTTCTAAAGGAGAAGAGGCAGACCAAGACAGACATGGACAAGGAATCTGGCTGACTGGACAATGGACAATCAAGTCCACTACATTTCACCGACACAGTCAACAGCCATTACCATGCACTGATCACATTTGTACAATAATATTTATTTAGTCTTCTTCTTTGTGATCACCGGCTGTAAACTCCAGCAGAAGGTTCTGACTGTTCGTCCACTTCTGGACTCTAGTTATGTTTCAGAGTGTTGCGTGCACATCCGTTTCACATTTCTGACTGATCTGCATGCAGATTATTGGTTCCTTGCCTCTCAGACAAATTTTCTCAGACTTCGAAGGTAGCTCTCCTTTAGTCGACTCGAGATGCTTTTGGGCAGGTAGAGAGTCGATTCTTCACAATTTGATACTAGAACCCACACAGAGATATTATCTAGTCTATGCACTGATCTTTACTTCTGTGAGTGCCAATCAACATATGAATATATAACTTTTCAGCAACAAGGATTCTCCAGCACTTTGTACTTGGGATCCAAGTACATTGATCTAGTCAGATACAACAATGAATCTAACGGTGTCTAGAGCAGACAAACAGGCAAAACAAACCTATCAATGACTTGATATTCTGCAACACCTGCTGCCAGGTAATTTTCTTAATGAGGTCTGAATTCAGCTCTGTGATGAGTTTAGAGTATCCCTCACTCTCCTCACGTAACAAGTTGAACTTCTGCTGCTTGTAGCTAAATATAAGAAGAGATGTGTATTAATAACTGGACGAAACAACAGCTTAAGGAGACAGAGGTATTCAAACACTTAAAAAAAAAATTATGTTGAATATTCTTCAATTACCATAAATTGAGGCATATAAGTGGGAGTTTTCAAGCCTAACTAAATCTGTATAAACCTGGTATCAAATGCACGGGGTATGTAAAGGCCTGGTGAAAGAACACGGCTGAGACTGTTGGGAATATTACGTCATGTCTGATGGATTATATCACTTACCTATGCACTTACCTCTAAATGTGTGTAACAGTGCAGGGGGAGAGGGGGGCCACAGGAAAGGAGTTGGGGAAAGTGAATAGCTGAAACATTCTTCAGACATCAATTATGGCAAATGTAAGATGACTACGTTACTATTCATGTGTCAATTTATTATTAAAAACTGTCTTTACTACACTTGTTAAGGTCGTGTATGACAGGGATGTATTCCGCCTAAAGGTTACATCTCAAGATTTTTTTTTTTTGCCTATGACACAAAAACTCTCGCCTAAGAGGTTTTGAACCTGAGTTTTCAAGTGACAACTGGTAAGTGCAATGATGGACTGACAGGAACAAAGAAGGTTATTATCACATAACTGACAGCCTAGACTACAGTACAACTGAGTGAAATCTGACATACAAACATGCTCTATATAACCCAGAGCATGGAGAATCATGAGAAGTGCTTACTATAAACGAGTCTTGGTCTTTACATATTTCTGGTTAAAACCAATCTGGGAAGCCACCAGGCCTGCAAGCTCCAAGGAGTCCTGGTCCAGTCGCTCCTTCAGCAGCCACTCAGGGACAACCACATGCTGGACAGGGAGAATCAGATAAACACATCACATTAGGAAACTAAATACTTTACCTTCAATTACTACCCTAAATTACTTCATAGCATGTCGACATTTCCAGCACAAGGCATGGGACTCAACAAGGTGTCATGACAGACGGAGAATGAAACAACCCACTCATATGAACGAGCAGCTGGTTCTTTACTCAGTGACATATACCTGTTGTTCTTGACTGTCTACTTTTTATACAGCAGAAACCCTTAACCAACTGGCACCAAGCCATTTCCTAAGTTTTATCATTGGTCCTTGTCCTTGCTTTATATTTTATTTTGTCAAATGGTGAATTCATCCGACCGAATTCAGCAACCCATGGTAATAAATTATTATCTTTCACCATGGCTGTCCTAATTTCTATTGCTGAATCTGGTTTTGTGTGCCAATAACAAGCAAGATTTTGCAGCAGTTCTCTATGGGATGAGACAGCCAGTCTCTAACCAACCTACCTGGGCTGTCTCTTATGACATACATGGCATGTATTCCTTTTATGTTTCCCTAATCAATCACAGTAACAACAAAGGTCATCAGTAACTGTCTCTGACTCTCAGTTCATGCTGTGGAAAGTTCAACTCAATACCCCTTGTTGGCAGCATTCCCCAAGCAGTTTGTTGTACAGAGAATTCCCAAAAGCAGTTTGCTGCATAGAACATTCCCTAAACAGTTTGCTGTACAGAACATTGCCCAAGCAGTTTCTTGTACAGAGCATTCCACAAGCAGTTTGCTGTACAGAACATTGCCCAAGCAGTTTGTTGTAAAGAACATTCCCTAAGCAGTTTGCTGCAAAGAACTCTCCCTAAGCAGTTTGCTGTAAAGAACATTCCCCAAATAGTTTGCTGTAAAGAACATTCCCCAAACAGTTTGCTGCATAGAACATTCCCCAAACAGTTTGCTGTAAAGAACATTCCCCAAACAGTTTGCTGTAAAGAACATTCCCCAAACAGTTTGTTGTAAAGAACATTCCCCAAACAGTTTGCTGTAAAGAACATTCCCCAAACAGTTTGCTGTAAAGAACATTCCCCAAACAGTTTACTGTAAAGAACATTCCCCAAACAGTTTACTGTAAAGAACATTCCCCAAACAGTTTGCTGTAAAGAACATTCCCCAAACAGTTTGCTGCATAGAACATTCCCCAAACAGTTTGCTGTAAAGAACATTCCCCAAACAGTTTGCTGCATAGAACATTCCCCAAACAGTTTGCTGTAAAGAACATTCCCCAAACAGTTTGCTGTAAAGAACATTCCCCAAACAGTTTGCTGCATAGAACATTCCCCAAACAGTTTGCTGTAAACATCAAACAGTTGAGAATATCAGAAGCTCAGAAAAGCATCCAAACACAAAGTGACCACAAGATGACTGACCTTTAAAGCTCCAACAAATGAGAGAAATTTCTCCCTCATAGCCTCGTCTGAACTGCTTGTCTCCACATCTGCAACGGTAACCATGACTTCTCCAATAAATCACATCTAGGTCTACAATCACTAAAATCATTTACGCACGGCATCCAACATCCAGCATATTTTCCTTCCTCTGGTCTTCTTTGCCAGGTTAGCATTCAGGTGCTCAGATGTATAAATTTGTGGATAAATGCAAATAAACATGTATATACATACATAAATATAAACTGTTTGCTTCTATTTATTCTCACTTTTCCTATCAACATCCTGCCCAGCTTGTTTTCACTACTTGTTTTACTGTTTAGCTTTTTATCTTCCAAGCTTTTTTTATTTTCTGTCTTACTACTTTGTATCACCGCTAGGTTTTTTGTGAGTGGGTACTTTTGTAATTTTTATTTTCCCAGCTAATGGTTTTTAAATAAGGCAGGACACTCAAGATGCCTTGTCATCTACTGCAGCTGAGTCCACGTACATATGACTCAATAGTGCATCAAGATCAGCAGAGGCAAGACAGTGAGACTGATGTGTCATGCAACACTTCCTTCCTTAAACCCAAGTCTTTACTGTCACTTCCATCCAGTTACTGTGGATGCTTAGTTTCTTCATCACTTGTAATGGATAAGCAACTCACAATTGTCAACATTCACCTGCATACTTCAATTTGTCAGTAGATTCTACCAATCTTTTTTCACTGGTTTTCACTGTTAACACAAAGACATATGCAACATCAACTACATCACTGGAGCTCTTACTTACCTACGATGCCTAGAACATCTGCAAGTGTAGACGGCAGCGAAGGTATGTAATCCTGAAAATACAGGTTGAAGATGGCTTGTCAATAAAACATGGTCTACTCCTTGCTTTGCTTGACATCGTACACTGCTTCAATCTTCATAATACTGACATCTGAAGCTGATTTCTTGTCACAAATATATAATCTCTCACATGTTTATACTGCTTCAGTACTGGTAATACTGGAATATCTGAAGTTGATATCTTGTCATAAATATATGATCTTTCACATGTTTATACTGCTTCAGTACTGGTAATACTGGAATATCTGAAGTTGATATCTTGTCATAAATATATGATCTTTCACATGTTTATACTGCTTCAGTACTGGTAATACTGGAATATCTGAAGTTGACATCTTGTCATAAATATATGATCTGTCACATGTTTATACTGCTTCAGTACTGGTAATACTGGAATATCTGAAGTTGACATCTTGTCATAAATATATGATCTGTCACATGTTTATACTGCTTCAGTACTGGTAATACTGGAATATCTGAAGTTGACATCTTGTCATAAATATATGATCTGTCACAATGTTTATACTTGCTTCAGTTACTGGTAAATACTGGAATATCTGAAGTATCTTGATAGTTGTCACATGTTTATACTGCTTCAGTCAATACTGGAATATCTGAAGTTGACATCTTGTCATAAATATAATTATCTTTCACATGTTTATACTGCTTCAGTACTGTAATACTGGAATATCTGAAGTTTGATATCTTGTCATAAATATATGATCTGTCCCATGTTTATACTGCTTCAGTACTTGTAATACTGGAATATCTGAAGTTGATATCTTGTCATAAATATATGATCTGTCACATGTTTATACTGCTTCAGTACTGGTAATACCTGGAATAATCTGAAGTTGATATCTTGTCATAAAATATATGTTTATACTGAAGGTAATACTGGACAAGTTGATATCTTGTCATAAATATATGATCTGTCACATGTTTATACTGCTTCATTACTGTACTGGTCTGAATTGACATCTTGTCCAATATCTGTCACATGTTTATACTGCTTCATCTTGTAATTACTGGAATATCTGAATATATGTCATAAATATATGATCTGTCACATGTTTATACTGCCTTCAGTACTGGTAATACTGGGAATATCTGAAGTTGACATCTTGTCATAAATATATGATCTGTCAGACTGGAATATCTGAAGTTGACTCTTGTCCATAAATATATGATCTGTCACATGTTTATACTGCTTCAGTACTGTTAATACTGGAAATATCTGAAGTTGACATCTTGTCATAAATATATGATCTTTTTATACTGCTTTCAGTACACTGGAATGTTTATAAATATATGATCTGTTTATACTTCAGTACTGGTAATACTGGAATATCTGAAGCTGATATCTTGTCATAAATATATGATCTTGTCACATGTTTTTATACTGCTTCAGTACTGGTAATACTGGAATATCTGAAGTGACATCTTGTCATAAAATATAATCTGTCACATGTTTATACATAAATATGGAATATCTGAAGTTGACATACTTGTCTAATCTCACATGTTTATACTGCTTCAGTACTGGTAATACTGGAATATCTGAAGTTGACATCTTGTCATAAATATATGATCTCTCACATGTTTATACTGCTTCAGTACTGGTAATACTGGAATATCTGAAGCTGAATTTCTTGTTCACAAATATATGATACTTTCACATGTTTTATACTGCTTCAGTACTGGTAATACTGGAATATCGGATTGATATCTGTCCATAATATATGATCTGTCACATGTTTATACTGCTTCAGTACTGGTAATACTGGAATATCTGAAGTTGACATCTTGTCATAAATATATGATCTGTCACATGTTTATACTGCTTCAGTACTGGTAATACTGGAATATCTGAAACTGACCATCTTGTCATAAATATATGATCTGACAGTTTATACTGCTTCAGTACTGGTAATACTGGACTGAAGTTGACATCTTGTCATAAAAATATATGATCTGTCACATGTTTATACTGCTTCAGTACTGGTAATACTGGAATATCTGAAGTTGACATCTTGTCATAAATATATGATCTTTCACATGTTTATACTGCTTCAGTACTGGTAATACTGGAATATCTGAAGTTGACATCTTGTCATAAATATATGATCTGTCACATGTTTATACTGCTTCAGTACTGGTAATACTGGAATATCTGAAGTTGATATCTTGTCATAAATATATGATCTTTCACATTTTATACTGCTTCAGTACTGTAATATCTTGACATCTGTTCATAAATACTGTCAATACTGCTTTTCAGTATGGTAACTGGAAGTCTGAAAGTTGATATCTTGTCATAAATATATGATCTTTCACATGTTTATACTGCTTCAGTACTCGTAATACTGGAATATCTGAAGCTGACATCTTGTCATAAATATATGATCTTTCACATGTTTATACTGCTTCAGTACTGGTAATACTGGAATATCTGAAGTTAACATCTTGTCATAAATATATGATCTTTCACATGTTTATACTGCTTCAGTACTGGTAATACTGGAATATCTGAAGTTGACATCTTGTCATAAATATATGATCTGTCACAGGTTAACACTAAAATCATGATGACATTTCCTATTTTGCCTGTGATCACTCATTGCTACAATTCAGCTAGTTATTTTGATGAGAAATTATTTGTTGTGATCATAGAACAGGGAGAAGGTCACAGCTGGAGACACCAGCCCCTGCTGGCTGTACAGCTGGTCGTGTACTGGAGTCTTTAACGTCAATTTGTTACTTGACCCGAACTCCCAGTCCAATGAAACTACCAGGGGTACCAGGAGACGTTTCTGGGAAGTAAAAATGGTTGGTGATACATGACATTATCTACTGAGCACTGATTACCAAAAAAATACATGGGATTAGCACCACATAACTAACATGCATTGTGGTGGGTGTGGGGTGGGAGATGAGCGTGGATAATAATTTACTAGGGGGCATCTTCATCATCCTGGGGGAATGAGGAGACTTACCTTGAGATCTGTGAACAAGGAGACAGCCTGCTCAATCTTCAGCTGGTTGTGATTGACGGCGTAGCAAATTTCATAGATAGCTCTCTTCAGGTTTCTCCTGGGCAGCAGTTTCACCGAGGAATCATGGTCACTTAAAGATCGGCAGACTTTAACACTGTGGATAAAGGAACAAGCACATGATAAATGATGTTACACAGCAGTTACTGCCAGACAGCCTGACTGTTTTACCAGGAACCACCAAAGTCCCAGCAGTCACTGTATACTGTAGGTCAAAGGTCACTCGCCCACAAGTGTACAGGCCAGTGTCTTGATTTTAATCTCTACCACATTTTTCACAAGGTGACCAGGTTTTAGAATGTGTAATGTATAAGACTGGTATCATAACCTTCCAGCAACCCCCCCCCCCCCCATAAGAATTACTGTTCCAACTTGTTTCTGTGGCCCAGACACTCAAAAATCCCAAATTCTCACACACTTAACGGACTTACATTGGACAAAACAAGCACTGTCTCTTTTATATTAACTTCAATATTTATTCACGCCAAAATGTGTCTTGTTTTTTCTTCTTCAATTCATCATTTGTTTTTCATTAAATTTGTGTTTCTCCTTTGTTCACCAGTTGATAGCTTCCATTTAACTTCAGCTTTGGGTCTGAGCTTTGCATTTACATCCGTTTTACTGGATTATTTGTGTACAGCTGCTTGTTGCTTGCCACTCTGGCAGACGCACTCCAACTTCAAGGAAGCTCCCAATTAGTCAATTCTTACTACATGCTTTGGGGGGGGGGGGGGGGGGGTGTGTGTGTGTGTGTGTACAGTGGATCTATTCTTGTTTTCTTCAAAACTGGGCTAAGGATTTGTGTTTGATATTCAACTAAAAAGTCAATATTATATCATAAGTGGCAGCAGAGTCAGCTGATCATCAGGTGGCTTAGTCATGAACGGTGATTGGAAGTGCGCCAATTAACTGTTGTTTAATACTTTATTTCCTTTTAATATTTACGAGTTTTTACAGACATGTATATAGTTAAGTAAAAATCTCATGTATTTCAATACTGCAATAAAACCAGTATTGATAACTAACTGTTTGCCTTCAGAAGCTTATGTAAATTGCGCAGGCATAATATTGTACCTATGTTGAGAGATCTACGTTGTTCTTTCAAGAAGTATGTAGACATTTAGGTAAAATTTTATCTATATAGCAGACGCCGGTAAACACTACACAATTTGAAAACTGCATCTATTTTCATGTTAATGGAATGTATTACCTTTCAGAGCTGAAGAAAAAACTCCCAAAGAATATTTCTCAAACTGTATAGCACAGCTGCAGCAGTACTATAGCAGCAAATGGTGAGTAGTTGTAATAAACATGAGTGATTTAATTATAATGTCATACATCATGCATCCCTAGACAATGTTTTTCCTTATAGAATTGTTTTCAGCATTTATTTCAAAATTCAACATGTATTTTAAACGTTTCAACCAGTTAAATAGTTAAGTTGTTGAGAAATGTTGGCACTTTTCCTAATAAAGAGTGTAAATTATTAATGTTAAAAACATACCCTATCAGGGCCTCAATAGGTCATCTAGGATAACTATTAAAAACTGAGAAATCAAATATAACTCTAACCCTAAGGCAAAAAACACCTACAGCTGCCATGTCATCAATTTGTAGAACATTATTGCTCATCTGCGTTGGAGCTAATGGTCTGCCTGTCTTATTAATATTTCTGAGCGACACTGACTGTGCCAGAAATACATCCTACTTTTACATTTCACTGAGGCCCTGTTGGGGAACAATCAGACAGTTACTGGAACTCTTCGTTGGCTGCTGAAGATAGGGATGGAACGCTTATAGGGGTGTCCCGAGTGTTATGATGTTAATACTTAATTCAACATTCATAATTTGCGCCCATTATTCAGAAAGGTGCCAAAATGTCCTTAAACTTAATTCTGAAATCACAAATCGTAGGTGCCATGTGCTAAAAGGCATTTTTGTGTGTTTACTAATAGAGGCAAATGGTTCCTCGACTTGTACACAGTAAATTCAGGAATAAAAGTTTAACAGTTGGTGAGTTGAGTTGAGTCAAGAATTTACATCACAGCACATGGGGCATTCACTTGCATGCTCCGTCATCTTCAGCAGCTAGCGCAGAGCTCCAATACTGACGGTACCGGTCACAATCTGGTAAAAGTCTGTCTTGCCTTTCCTCTGAATGTAGTGAGCCGGCCAGACCCTCTGGTTACACCCAGGTGCCTCATTCTCTCCAGGTCATAATAATAATCTTTCTCTACTGATTCTGTTGCTTGTTACCAAAGGGCCTTGACCACATCTGCCTTGTCATGTATCAATTCACCACCCAGCGGTGCAGATCGAGCCAATCTGTCTGTCTGTTCATTACCCACCACACGTAGAGAAAAGATTCAAAGTATGCTCACTACCCGTGACCTTCCCAGTGAAGCTTGCCACTCTGCTCAGAGCATCCCTGTCTTCACTTTTCAGAGTCTGTTACAGTTACGACATGTGTGTGCATCTTGATCTCTAGCCACCGGAGAACTGCAGTTACCATTTCCACCTTCATTCTCATGCTAGATGTTGTGGTGTCATATGCTAGGCTGTCTTGCACTAAAGATTTTTCATTGGCTTTCGCTAAGAACCCCCAGGCACTTTTCTTTCCTCTCAACACTGAATCATCTGTATAGATAATCAGATCACATTGGCGTGAATTGTCGTGAATCACTGTTGGACTTCAACCTCGGTAGCACCTGCTGGCCACTCTCTGCAAACCCGGTCCAATGTTATCATAACTCTACACAGGTCAGACTTTTCCGCTGGTACTCTGACCAACTCCTTTCCTCGCCCAATGTTCTCCAGCGTGCATACTTGTCTTCTGCTTGAGCTATCAATGATTTTCCCCTTTTCAGCCTCCGACCCTTGCCTGCAGCCAAAGCTTCATACAGAGAGTGTTCCCTGTCTGCAGCTACTCTGAGGTATGACTCAGGCTGCAGCACCTTTAGCCTATTTGCAAGAGTTTACAATGCAAGGATGTATCGGAGCACATAATCGGTGTGTCTCTTGTATGACCCAGTATCATCTGCATAGCTTCATTCTGTATGCGCTCCAGTTTCTCTAGCTGCCTCTTCGAGACAGTGAGTAACCTCGATTCATAATCAATCAGTGAGATGATTAAGTGCTGGTAAAGTGAGAACAGCATTCTCTGCTCCATGTCCATTGATGCCATAATCTTCAGTGCATTTAGACCTTTTTGAGCCCTTGTCACAACTCCCTATGTGATCCTTAAAAGACAAACTTCTGTCAAATGTGATTCCCAAGTACCAGTCTGCTGTCTCTTCTGATGTCCCTGCCATTTATTTTGAGTCTGGGAACATCAGCTCTAACTATCCTGTTGTCCAAAGAACACCACAGGACGGTTGCCTTTTCTGGGTTTATTACAGCACTCATCCCTGTACACCAGTCGATCATCTCATCTACCGTTGCCTGTAACTCTTCAGCTATATATATATATTGTTGAGAAACAAGTAACAGTTGAAACATGTTCTGAAAGTGTGAATAGCCTCTATTTTATGATAATTAAGGCTCTCCTCCGAAGTGTACCCAATATTATGGCGGCCAAACAAATACCCTAACAGGGCCTCAGTTGTGTGTAAAATGCGGACTTCTTGAGAAGAACACATAGCGGCAAAACGAGGATTACTTGACAATCTCAAGAGACGCAACACTGCAGACGATAAAAGCGACCGCCGACAATTCCTAGCGTTTCTGTGGACGATACTAGGGGCCATTGACAATTTCGAGAAACACAACATTACAGACGACAATATGGAGATGGCGGGGAGACCACACGCTCCAGCGTAGATTAGCGAGTGTTCTTCAGATTAAACTCACTGCCGAGCATATCACCCGTGAATGGGGATCTAAACTAGATGCCTGTGACTCACGAGCAAAAAAACTGGAGGAAGTTGCAGGAGATGCGGTAGCTGCTGCTCGTGAGTCTCAGCCATCTAGTTTAGCTCCCCCTATCTGCACCGCCCTTAGTGGCACGAGGGATACTGTCGGCGGTGTTAGAGCATTTGTTTCGTTATTCCAAGCCGATCCTAGTTTTGCCGCGATTTGTTCCTCGGCAGGAAGTCCGCAGTCATTTTGCATAGGACTGAGGCCATGTTAGGGTATTTGTTTAGCCGCGATATTATCGGGTAGAAGTTCGGAGGAGAGCCATAATTGATAATATACCGCAATTTTATTTTTAATTGACGCAGACTCTGACTCTGAGCGAAATGATGGTCGTAAAATTCGATTAGATTCCAAGGCAAGTGGAATCCAAAAATACTAGTTGCATTATTTAAAAGTAGTTAAGAACATCTGACTAAACTACATATTCTGTTATTCAGACTGAATTAGAGTGCAGTTAAATAGTGATAGTGGTGGTTTGATCTGTCACTTGAACGTGTAAAAAAGTGTAAACTGTAAACTGGCACAGTAGTTAGTACAGTACACACAAAGGTCCATCTCTATGACTATGATGGTTCAGTTCAAATTCCTAAATTGTGCTATTAAAATCTTTAACACATCAGACAACTTCAGACTACGAAATTTAAACACCAGCTTGCAATTTAATATACGTACTATTCGGTTCTGCCGGTTTTTTCCCAATTTCGAAGAATATCTTGCGACAAACAAACGGTCGCCATTTTGAGTGATAGCTCCAGACGTGAAACCTTGCAGGAAGTGACGTCACGGTAGTGCTCACCGTTTGTCTGCCTGTGGAGGGTGTGGGTGTTGTCTCCCTGTGTTCAGGGCTTTTCTACTAAGTTTACTCAGGAGCCAACATTTTGAATCTGGAGGTTGTCGCCGGCCAGAGCCAACAGTCTCCGCATAAAAAAATTCATGAATGCATCGTGAATGTTGAATTAAGAATCGACATCACAGCACTCGGGACACTCCCATAAGCGTTCCGTCCCTATCTTCAGCAACAAGCGCAGAGTTAAAATTCCGATGGTACCAGTAACAGTCTGATTGTATATCCGTCTCGCCCCTCCCCCGAGTGTCGAGCGTCGGCCAGATCCCCTTGTAACTCCTCGCAGTGCCATTCTCTTCAGACCGAAATGATCTATCTGTTCCAGTGCGTTATGATTACTGATTTAAGAATCCAAATAATAGCACGCCAGATATACCCATCCGTCATCTCTTCCTCTCATATGTACCTCCTTGCCAGATTCACTCTTAATTCTCCTGTTCACACATTCTTGCACATGTTATTTCATCTAAATTCGAATCTTCAGTCAACATTCGTTCATAAATGATCTTCAGAATATCTCGCTCGTCCTGTACAAGTGACTTCTGTTGCCAGAAAATCCATTCTTTCATTCCCTCGCACATCCTGGATGGTATATCCACTCGATTCCTAGCAATGTTGGAGTACTGCTTCAATCATGCCACATTAATCCATTCCTAACCTTATGTTGTACTGACTGAGAATCAGACACAATATTTTCTCTCATAACTTTGTTTTCTGCTATCCAAATCAGAGCTGCAGTGATTGCCTCCACCGCCACCCTAATGCTTGACATTCTGCCTGACCACACTTGCATTTAATCACAGTTTGCTCCACCTAATATCTGTATGACAGGCTGCGATCAAACCCCAAACTTAAGTATTTCAGCTGACCTATTCTTTCAATATTTATATTCTTCATGGATATGCTGGCCAAGTCTTCATTTCAACTGGTATTATTTAAGGACCACCACAAAACACTGGCCTTCTGTGGGTTTACCCTTGACCCTGTCTGTTCACACCACTCCGTCATCTCATACAAAGCACTTTGCAAGTCTCTGGTCATGTTGTGGCTGTCTGCCCCGCTTCAATGCAATAGGACATCATCTAAAAAAAATTCCCTTGGTCCATTGAGCTGTATTTTTGCCAGACTTGCTGTTTTTATATTAAACAAGACAGGTGACAATGGTGATCCCTGAGGAAGGTCAGGGCAAATGCTTATTAGATCAAATCCCAATGTTCCCAAACAAAATACCACTATTCTTTCCAACAATGCTGCCCCCATCCAATTAGCAACGAAGGGTTCACATCCGTCCATCACGCAAGAATTATACAATTAGGGCATTCATATTTAATTGCTCCACTGCCATATTTGGCAAGTTTGTTAGCTTTCCCGTTCCCCGGTGTGTCACGATAGGATGTTAGCTTAATTTAGGACCAACATCACAGCACTTAAATTATTCCTCATTAGCGCCCTATCCTCATCTTCAACAGCAGTGTTGAGTTCCAGTACAAGCTGTCCCAGTTCCAGTCTGATTGTATGCTTGCCTTGCATGTTGAGTGACAGATTCCCTGATCAGTCGTCACGCTTCAATCTCTATGGAGCATAATTATTTCACTTCTCCTCCAGCACTGGTAAGGATACAATCACGCCATAGGTCTGCGAATTCTCTTGCCAGGGAAAAGCTGCAGTAACTGGCACCACTTCAAACAGGATGTTGTGGTGTTATATAATATACTAAATGTCCTTACACTTGCTCGCTCGTTCATCTGCTTTGATATGAAGGCCGTGACAGTATCCACTGAATGGCCAGGTTTTATTGTCTGTAGAAAGAACGGACTACAGATGTTGTGTATCTTTGTTCAGACATGACTTTTGCTGCAGCTGACTCTGAATGATGGTTTAACCATCAGCATGAATTGAGTTCTCTGTCTAGGTTCTTGGGCTCCAATTGTTGTTGTGTTGGGGGGTGGGGGATGGGGGGGGGAATGGGTAGAATCACTGCCCCTTAACAAGAATGTATTCAAAGGAAGCTGACCAGTTAGGGATGTTTCCTTCAGTCAGAGTGCATCGACTTCAGGAGCAAGCAAACAACAGGCTGCATACAAATAAGCCAGATCACTAAAAACGGATGTGCAGTCCAAAGTCAAGTTCTGGAACAACACTAAAGTCCAGAAGTGGACGAACCACCATAATTTATTTTCTGCTAGAGTTTACAGCAAGTGAAGGTGGAGAAGAAGAATTTAGTTAATTTGCATAGCCCTTAATGCGACTGACTGATTCGCAAGCCAGCTGGCTTCCTTCTATCCATCTGTCCCCACTGGGCTGCTGTATGCAAAGCTGACCACTATGAGATTATAGAAATCTCCACTTATATGGCAAGCCAACAGGGCTAACCCCTGATACCCTGTGCAAGCTCCGCAGAAGTTATCAATGGCACTACACCAGGCTGATGTCACCTGCAGTCCTGTGTGGGTCAGGGATCCAGCAACCCAACTGAAAGTCCCATAACACACTAAGTCAAACAGAGCAGACAGCAGAACATCTTAAGAGATTTTTAAAGTTTAGACGAAGTTGGAAGGATCACTGACCCACTTACATGCAGACAAAGAGCCAAACAATACAAACACAGTCAACAAGAATCACAAACTGGTGCACTAAACTGAATTGTTTAATGAAACAAAATAAAAGGTGCAAGATGAAAGCATTAAATAGCAATTCTGATTATTAATCAGTTTTCTCCCCTTCCGGAGCCATTGTGGTGTAGCGGCTAGATGCTCGCCTGCAGATTCCAAGGTCATGGTTTCTGGTTCTGATGGAACTAGACTTTATTCTGTTAAAACTGACCTTGGCTCCTAGGGTTACCCAACCTTACATGGGTATCAGATAAAGTCCTGGGAAGTAAAGGCAGTTAGCGTGATGCTGACCACATCCCCCACGGAGTGCAGATTGGTCTATAAAATATAGTTGTAGCCCTATATGCCCATTAATGCTGCCCCAGGGCATGGTACTTTCCAGTGACCACCGCCTGAACTAGTATAAGATCAAACAACACTGGAACAGAATGTTTTAACAAATGGGATAGACAGAGGGGTTCAACTGTGTCTGTACTGAGCATCTAGACATGACTGTCATGACTGGTTAAGAGGAATTTTGTGTGAGTTCAATCAGCTGCTATACCCAACTATCTAGTCTCCATAAGTTCAGTCAGCTGCTATACCCAACTATCCAGTCTCCATAAGTTCAATCAGCTGCTATACCCAACTATCCAGTCTCCATAAATTCAATCAGCTGCTATACCCAACTATCCAGTCTCCAAAAATTCAATCAGCTGCTATACACAACTAAAACGGTCAATACATTTATGAGTTTAAACTAACTCATACACAAACTGCAGCACAGACAGGTCATAAACAGGTCCTCCACTTGTACTGACAGCAATAATGGGACCTGTGTCCCTTACTTGTACTGACAGCAATAATGGGACCTGTGTCCCTTACTTGTACTGACAGCAATAATGGGACTATGTGTCCCTTACTTGTACTGACAGCAATAATGGGACCTGTGTCCCTTACTTGTACTGACAGCAATAATGGGACCTGTGTCCCTTACTTGTACTGACAGCAATAATGGGACCTGTGTCCCTTACTTGTACTGACAGCAATAATGGGACCTGTGTCCCTTACTTGTACTGACAGCAATAATGGGACCTGTGTCCCTTACTTGTACTGACAGCAATAATGGGACCTGTGTCCCTTACTTGTACTGACAGCAATAATGGGACCTGTGTCCCTTACTTGTACTGACAGCAATAATGGGACCTGTGTCCCTTACTTGTACTGACAGCAATAATGGGACCTGGGTCCCTTACTTGTACTGACAGCAATAATGGGACCTGGGTCCCTTACTTGTACTGACAGCAATAACGGACCTGGGTCCCTTACTTGTACTGACAGCAATAACAGACCCAGGTCCCTTACTTGTACTGACAGTAACAACAGATCTGGGTCCCTTACTTGTACAGACAGCAACAACAGACCTGGGTCCCTTACTTGTACTGACAGCAATAATGGGACCTGGGTCCCTTACTTGTACTGACAGCAATAATGGGACCTGGGTCCCTTACTTGTACTGACAGCAATAATGGGACCTGGGTCCCTTACTTGTACTGACAGCAATAATGGGACCTGGGTCCCTTACTTGTACTGACAGCAATAATGGACCTGGGTCCCTTACTTGTACTGACAGCAATAACAGACCCAGGTCCCTTACTTGTACTGACAGCAATAACAGACCTGGGTCCCTTACTTGTACTGACAGCAATAACAGACCCAGGTCCCTTACTTGTACTGACAGCAATAACAGACCTAGGTCCCTTACTTGTACTGACAGCAATAACAGACCTAGGTCCCTTACTTGTACTGACAGCAATAACAGACCTAGGTCCCTTACTTGTACTGACAGCAATAATGGGACCTGGGTCCCTTACTTGTACTGACAGCAATAATGGACCCTTACTTGTACTGACAGCAATAATGGACCTGGATCCCTTACTTGTACTGACAGCAATAATGGACCTAGGTCCCTTACTTGTACTGACAGCAATAATGGGACCTGGGTCCTTTACTTGTACTGACAGCAATAACGGACCTGGGTCCCTTACTTGTACTGACAGCAATAATGGACCTGGGTCCCTTACTTGTACTGACAGCAATAATGGACCTGGGTCCCTTACTTGTACTGACAGTAACAACAGACCTGGGTCCCTTACTTGTACTGACAGCAATAACGGACCTGGGTCCCTTACTTTTACTGACAGTAACAACAGACCTGGGTCCCTTACTTGTACTGACAGCAATAACGGACCTGGGTCCCTTACTTGTACTGACAGTAACAACAGACCTGGGTCCCTTACTTGTACTGACAGCAATAACGGACCTGGGTCCCTTACTTGTACTGACAGCAATAATGGACCTGGGTCCCTTACTTGTACTGACAGTAACAACAGACCTGGGTCCCTTACTTGTACTGACAGCAATAAAGAACCTGGGTCCCCTTACTTGTACTGACAGTAACAACAGACCTGGGTCCCTTACTTGTACTGACAGCAATAACGGTCCTGGGTCCCTTACTTGTACTGACAGCAACAACAGACCTGGGTCCCTTACTTGTACTGACAGCAATAATGGACCTGGGTCCCTTACTTGTACTGACAGCAACAACAGACCTGGGTCCCTTACTTGTACTGACAGCAACAACAGACCTGGGTCCCTTGTACTGACAGCAATAATGGACCTGGGTCCCTTACTTGTACTGACAGCAACAACAGACCTGGGTCCCTTGTACTGACAGTAACAACGGACCTGGGTCCCTTACTTGTACTGACAGCAACAACAGACCTGGGTCCCTTACTTGTACTGACAGTAACAACAGATCTGGGTCCCTTACTTGTACTGACAGCAATAATGGACCTGGGTCCCTTACTTGTACTAACAGTAACAACAGACCTGGGTCCCTTACTTGTACTGACAGTAACAACAGACCTGGGTCCCTTACTTGTACTGACAGTAACAACAGACCTGGGTCCCTTACTTGTACTGACAGCAATAATGGACCTGTGTCCCTTACTTGTACTGACAGCAATAACAGACCCAGGTCCCTTACTTGTACTGACAGCAATAACGGACCTGGGACATAAAAATAACAACGGCATGAGTAACAATAAATTATCACGATAACTACACTGTGTGAGTTCACGAGGCAAGACGGAGTTCCACATATTGCACTGAGATCTGCCAACTCCACAAGTGAGATGATGCTATTCACACAGAAGGTATCTTGCCACTGGGCTGAAACAATCAGAAGACATAAACCTGTTAGCTACACAATGCTGTCACAGATGTGGAGTAATGGTCCTATCTATAGATTGCCAAAACAGTCTTGACGGCTGAGTCATGTGATAGGTGTAGTTGATATCATCAGCCCATCTGCTTTTTGATCGCCAATTTGTAGGTACAGAAACCTAATTTCACAGCTTCCATTATTGTCAGATGACCAAACCACCATATAATATGTATCTCTAATTAACCAATCATTCAAGGCAATCATCATCATTATTATGGCCAAAATGTTCTGCTGTGATATATATCACATAAGTGTAGGTCACTCCCCCATCATCATCATGCACAGGTTCTTTATGTATGTCACTCCCCCATCATCATCATGCGACAGGTTCTTTATGTATGTCACTCCCCCATCATCATCATGCGACAGGTTCTTCACAGATGTCACTCCCCCATCATCATCATGCGACAGGTTCTTCACAGATGTCACTCCCCCATCATCATCATGCGACAGGTTCTTCACAGATGTCACTCCCCCATCATCATCATGTGACAGGTTCTTCACAGATGTCACTCCCCCATCATCATCATGCGACAGGTTCTTCACAGATGTCACTCCCCCATCATCATTATGTGACAGGTTCTTCACAGATGTCACTCCCCCATCATCATCATGCGACAGGTTCTTTATGTATGTCACTCCCCCATCATCATCATGCAACAGGGTCTTTATGTATGTCACTCCCCCATCATCATCATGCAACAGGTTCTTTATGTATGTCACTCCCCCATCATCATCATGCAACAGGTTCTTTATGTATGTCACTCCCCCATCACCACCATGCGACAGGTTCTTTATGTATGTCACTCCCCCATCATCATCATGCAACAGGTTCTTTATGTATGTCACTCCCCGATCATCATCATGCAACAGGGTCTTTATGTATGTCACTCCCCCATCACCACCATGTGACAGGTTCTTCACAGATGTCACTTCCCCATCATCATCATGTGACAGGTTCTTTAT